TTGAAATTTCGGGACGGGGGAGGTAGCACTGTGTTCCGCATCATAATACAGACGTCCTACGCGTGAATCACTTCTAATACACACGTTCTAGATGTGTAGCACCTACTTACTCCTTCAGAGGAAGAAGACGGTTGCAAATTTGTACATTTTTCAGTTGAATACCCTTATCATTATCAAAAGTTCATTTTGTGGCAAACCGTAAAATAATATCCTTAATGCCACGTCCGCCACGTCAGCCACGTCCGAATTGGATCCCCCCTCAACTCTCCAATAATCCCTTCCCTCTGGAAGCCAGAAAACTAAGAATGGAAGCGGGGGAGGGGGGATAAATGAAGTAATCTCCAGCTAATGCTTTTCCCCATTAATTCTTTAGTTTCAAGTTTTTAAACATCTGTGATATAAAGTAGTTGAGCCACACTGTTTCAAAAAAGCGAATGTCGTGCTGCCAGCGAATATCGCGTGACCTTTGGCATATTTGACAATGGTCATTAACTGCTTGTCAAACTTGAGTCTACATATGACAATTGTGTAATTCAGTGGCACACTGAAGAACATTCCTGAGCTGTTTGGACAAACGAACAACAGTTAACAAAAGCTATTGTTCCACAGAGCAGCAGGGAAAATCTCTTTCCCTTCGGCTTCACTCTCAGCGACAAAGGTTGGAAGGTTTAAAACAATTGAAGGTAATCGCCAATTTCCTTATCTCATGATTTTTTTCTTACAGTTCGTGCGTGCTTTTTGTGATATTCAAAACGACCCGGCATGGAGGCGGATTACAAAAGATCCATTGTTTCTCCAAAAACTTTAACCACAACAATAGCTATAAATTGTCGATATAGGTACATCATATCTCGCTCTTAATTAGAATCACCGAGTCTCGTATTATTCTCCATACCCTGCGCTAAAGCGGGCCACAGCAGAAACTGGCGAACTTTGTTAGAAGGATTGGAACGTGTACAAATTATTCAAACCGACGGAAACGACCCTGGAAATAAACCCCTCAATATGATTCAGTTTTTGGAGAGTGGTTTCAGTCTTGCTTGATGTTGCCGAGAGGAGAACTTTGTTTTACTGAACGGTTAACGGTTAAGGTTCTAGTGCATTAACTTCTTGCATGCATGACTGTAGACAGGCTCATGGCCGGAAGGGTAGAAATTCGGTAAGCGATCCGAAATCATCTACTATGCAAAATAGTGATGATTTATTGGCCGTTGATGGCTCTTTGTAAGAAGACGAAGATCTTAATAATTCTTTTTTTTTTTTTCCTCTGCTCATTCATCACCTTTCATCTGCTCAGAACGCGACCACAGTTCTACACCACTCGACCCGCGATCTGAGGCCATGGCCGGTATAATTTTTCGCACTTGTGGCTTCCTTTCGTTGTCTCCGAGTAGAAGTTGCGTGTGTACTGCACTGACAGGGCGTCTTTCCGGGCCTCCATTTCCTGCTTTTAGGCGTATACGAGCCGCAAGGCATAACATATTGCTGTTTGGGACCAAGGAATACATTTATATCAGTAGATACTTGTCGGTTAGAACTTGCAATCAGTTTGGAGAAATTGCAGCCTACCTTTTTTGGTTCGAATTTTTCCTTAATAAGAATGGTTACAGGATTACAGGTCAAAAAAGTTCAGACTTGACCTTGTTAGTCTTCTGTACTCTCCAGCCATGTTTACTGTACCCTCCCCCCCGTTTATTTCAATAAGGTATTTCGATCTTTAAAGATCCGGAACTTTAAGGAAACCATACCAGTCGGCAAGCTCAACACATCTTGCGGTAATCTTCTTCTGCTTTAATTCTGCTTCGATTTATAAACACTTTGCGGTAGCTAAGATTAAAGACGGTATGTCGGTCGTAACTCTAAACCTTCGAGGACGATAAGATAACATGCATGATATACCACGATTGTTCAAATTTTTGAGCAACTTCCAGGAAACACTAAAACACAAAAAAGGAGGGACGGCTTTATCAAATTACCAGATATCGAGAAGAGAGTTGAAAAACAAACGAGGCCCACCGCAGCTTCGAGGAGAAACAACGCTCATTTGCGGTAATGTACACTCAATTCATTTCTCATTTAGCAACTTTGATCGCATCTAGAAACCTTCCACAAAGAGATTTTATTCATTCATCTTCTTTGATTTTCGTTCCTTGCTTCCTTGTATAAATGAATTGGGGTTAAATGAGTTTCAGCTCTTCCTGAAGATGCGAATGATCGGTATTTAATTATGTATCCAAGAGTTCGATTGCTCAATTTCCCGGTTTAGACCTTCGAGCTGTTTGCTTTGAGGATAAACAAAGTTTGTCCTTTTCAAGTACCCTTTTCACACTTTCTTCTGTAAAAAAAGGAAATTAATTGATTGCCAAAGAAGATTAAGTAAGCCTTGGCCACCATAAAAGAGAACAAGGTCAGTGTTTTTCTTTTTCTATCAAGGGCATTGAAAATTCAACCGTACACAATTACAATCAGCCAATCGTCTGTTCTGCTTAGGATAAAGTTAGCTGCAAAGACAATTTGTACGAGCAACGAAGCCCAAGACGCATCGTGCAACAAACATGGGGCAGGAAACGCTGAGTCCTCGACGGGATTAGACCGCATTTAGTAGACGAAGTGTCAGGTGCTCCAACCTGCGATCGGGCCGTCCTTCTTCCCTTTTTCTTTGCTCGTTGTTGCTCTTCCCCGAGAAAAAAAGGAACGGCTGATCGCAGCTACAGAGCTACAAAGAAAGTCGTTATTTAAGCTACCCTCCTATTATGCATACTTAGATTTCGACCAGACTTTAGTTAAAAATAGAAGTAACAATATTCTTATACAGTTTTTATTTATATTCGCCTCCACCAAAATAATCGGCCTTTATGCTAAGAAAAGATACAAGCGCTATTTTTTTCTTGCGTAATTTCTCCAAGTGCTTCAAGGTTACACAAACAAAACCATTGTGTGACCCCGGATTATTTTTAAGCGAGAGAAAAAACTGTCAGCTTCAAGCGGCAATACGTCGCGCGCGGTTGGATTCCACACTGTGGATTCCCGATTCTAGGTACTGGATTCGGTTCAATTTCGGTTTCTGGGAACCGCCCACCTACCCCTCCCCTAATCTAACATTAACTCTTACTTCTCACTTCGGGCAAAATGATGGCTTAGGGGAGGGGTAGGTGGGAAGTTTCCCAGAAACCTAAATTGTCCTTGGATTCCACACTCCTTGTCAATGGAATTTGTGGAGTGGATTGGAGACTTAATTTAACCCTTTAAGCCCTAAGATCCGCATCAAATTTCTCCTTGTACTATCACTGCTTTGTAAAACAGAGTGGTCATGAGAATTACAGACATGATCACACACGATAAATTTGCTGATATCTTAACAACTTCTCCCCACTTCTTTCATAGGAAATGAATAAGGGCAACAAATGAGAATTCAAGTTTTGATCTTAAGGTTTAACTTCACTGAAGGGTTAAAGAGGGTAACACTTGACAGTTTTAATGGGAACTGACAAACTTGTGGCCCTCAACTCGGGTTCCAGATTCCAAACGTTAGCTGCATTCTGGATTCCTTGGTCAGAATTACCCGGATTCCGGATTCGATAAGTAAAAAACTACCGAATTCCGAAAGCCGTATTACCCTAGATGGGGCGACTTTTTTATTTTCAAGAAGTCGTAGTTAAAAGAATATACAGCCAACTCTCGCCTTGCAGACGCCCCTCTGTTATGGACACCCCGATATAAGGACAACAGTTGGCTAAATTCCCGGCAAAAACAAATTACAGACGTTTCACTCTCGCTATTACGGACTGTCGCTAATGAGGAAACTAACTCAAGGTTCCTACAATGGCCGCAATAAAGGGAGTTGACTGTAAAAGGTTTGTCGCTTTGTGTTTCCAAATGAGTGGTTACACCTTTTTGTCACCAGGGAGCAGTTTCATGAAAATGTAAAATCATGCCGAAAGCCAAGCGAATAAAAAAATTTAATACAATACCTTTGTCTTCTCTTATTATCTCTTGAAACACCATAACTTGTAATCACTATATGTTCGCCAAGTCAGCTAGTGCTTTCGAGTCCAGTGTTTGTCCATGTATAGAGGCACTTAACCAACCTATCACCGAAATAAGTATAACTTTTATTTCTATATGACTATACTGCTGCCAATATATGTATTTAGGATCCATTACCTGGAATCCGGAATCCTCAGCGTGGAATCCAGAATCCAAGACTGTCTTGGATAACCTTACGTGGGGCAAGGGTAGTGATGCTTGAATCAGGGCAAAAACTACTCGAAACAATAAATAAATGATTGAATAAATCTATAAATAAGGAAATAAAACAGGGTTCACCCAACAAGATTCAAACCAACGATCGTATAATTCACTCCAGTTTCCCTTGTATTTAAGTAGAATAGTATTTATTAATACTCATATAACGTCTAATTTCTTTGTATTTATCCAGTTTGTAGTACCTGGCCTGCCTCGAATAGCCTCGCTAACTGCAGGCCAGTCCAAATGTATTTTTGTAATATATTTCCGAATTGAAAGTTGAAAGTTGCAAGTTGCTAATCACGAGGCTCAGCCACCAGGAGACCATGACCCAACCAATTAACAATGAAGGCATTAGAGCTAGGTTTATCTCCTGAAAACTCCTAGGACAGGAAAGCCGATAGGTGCCACATACGCAATGATATAAATGCGATGGTGAATTTAAAACCTGGTGAATATATGAGTTAACGGCTATTGTTTCTTTTCTTTCAGACATTAAAAGCGACATGTTAATGATCTTCGTTGTTTCTACTGTGTGCCTTGTCGGTGCCAAAGCAGAGTCTCCATCGAAAGACAAATGTAGCTCGGTATTAGGAAACACCTGTTTGCAAAGATGCAATAGTACGTCTTGTAGCTGTGGACCAAGTGACGGGAAATACGCTTACACCGAGTGCGACCAAGTCTGCTATGACACAAGGTGCAGAACGCTGACCTGTTCATCCGGGACTTGCCACCAACAGTGCCACGACTGCAAAATGGAATGCACTAGCGATGTCGACTATTGCAGTCAGCAGTGTCTTTCAGGGAAATGCGCTTTTAAGTGTAGTGCCAGACGGTGTGTACAGCAGTGTGACGGTAAGAAATGTGACCACTTGCCTTCAGATCACGAGAAGCCACTTGTATCCCGCCTGTATCTGGCAATTTTGGCAGGGCTGTTTGCATCAACTACGGTGTTAACGTGCTTGGCGCTAGTCCTGTCCTGCAGTCAGACGGGGTGCTGCAGAAAACGCACGCGAAGAAGACGCGCTGTTCGGGGTCTTGATAGCAGTACAAGAAGCCTTCCAATCAAATCAAACTTAGTGTAGGAATTGGTATTGGAGTTGGCCTTAACCAGCGAAAACAATGGGACAGACAGGAAAACGCCCAGTCTAGCCCTTGGGATATGTGAATTTCACCAAGGCTATTTTTAGACCAGTTAACGTTTGAAATTAATCAGAAGTTGATTTCCGTAGAGGTCCGCAAACTTTTACTCATTGTTAACAAGAGAGCACAATAGGACATGTGGTGTGTCGCCATCGAAACATTTTGCATAATTGGCTCTGAGAAACTCGCGCGTGGACTTAATGACGTTTCAAACTATCGAGAAAATGTGCAGACGCCCCAGGAATTAGACTTCCGTTTAATTCCAACTTCTAAAAATAACTTAAGTGAAATTCATATATCCCAGCCGACGCCCTAGGATTCCCTGTCTGTCCCATCATTTTGTCTTGGTCTTAACGTCAAGAACTCTTGTTCAGAGGAGTCCGAGAGGGCTTTCAATATAAACACTATCTTGGAAACGGAGTTTACACTTGCGTTACGCGAGAGCCAATAATTATTATCCTCAGCTGTTTTTGAGGAGTAGGTTATAATGGTGAATAAAGGACATATAAAATGACTGACAAGGTCACAAGTTAAAGGAACATACTCAAGAGAAATATAGAGAACCCTTTTTTTTTTTTGGTTTCAAAAAAGCAAGTCATATACTGTAGACGTACGTGGAAGAGACAACTTATAGGTACCAAAAAAGTGGATATTTAATAACATGCATCTAGTGTTTGTGTTTAAGGAATAAAAACGTGTATATTTAAAAGAAATAATACTTCAGATAGCTGAAAACTGCGAAGACGAAATCGCAAATAAAATAGGCGTTGATTTAAGCGGTGCTGATTTTATAATCTCTTGCTCTATTAGTCTCCGTTTAAGGGATGAGGGGGAGGGGGATGGGGGAGGGGGAACAAATAATTCCCTTCGTGTTTTCCTTTCTACAAAACCGGGTAAAGGCAGTGTATTAAATCGCACTGCGTTTGCATTTTAGTTGAAGCCGTGGTATGGTCGTGATATGGTCCCGCCATATCCTTTATTAAAGCATATCCTTTATCAATTTATCCTTTTATTGCCTTTCAGTCAGTGTAGGTTGTGTGAGCGCGCGTTGTTTTCTTTTATTATTTGACGTGTGTATTTAGTTCGTTATTTAATTTAACGCATTACAGGTTTTTGGAGCCGAAACCGATTCTGGTTGTTTTCCTACTGACGAACAGTTACGGCATTTATTTACCTTGTCGGCAACTGTGCTCACGTTAATGGGTGATTCAATAATCCATTCATAAAATGAATAATCCAACAGTCAAAAATGATTCAAAAATCAAATGTTGATTTGGTTTTGAACAAAAATGTTCTTTATTCTGGTCTGTTGTGTTCAAACCGACGTTTGACTGGAATTGCTTTAATCAAAATAACACCTTTTAGACATCCTGACAAAGGCCGAGGATGACGAACAGTATGACCGTCGTGTTTTTTACATTTACTATTTTTTAGACTTTAAGACATTTCGGCAAACAGCAATTTGGAATCGAGGGAAAATATGACTATTGTGTTCATTTTTGAATATTTTGAATACAAATGTTTTTTTTGAATGCATTAGTTCGAGCGAAAACCTGGGGACTGTAAGACATTTCGAAAAAAACATGTTTGTTTTACGCTCTCGATAAAAGGGAAAAAAATTAAAACATGGGGGCAAAGGGGCGGCGACATTAAGTACATCTCTCGAGTGTCAACGTGGCAGAACTAATTATATGCACAATCATACTATGGATAAGAGAGGATAAAGTACACTGTCTGCATGCTCAAGAGGTTCCTTATCACGGTGACATATTCTTTTGCACGTTTGCGTTCATAACTGCATGAACGTTTACGTTTTTAAACAGTCACACAATTGGCAAACTATCAGTGCTAAAAGACATCAGACCTACTTTTTTTCGGACAATTTACTACATGGAATTCTTCTGTAAATTGTACGTGTCCCCTCAGACCACGTGACTCTGATTTCCGGATCTGATTAAGAGTAGCACTCAGATAAGAAGTCACCGCAAGATTTGGCAATTCTAGTCTTCCTGTAGTTACTTTTATCAAGGGTCATCATCCCAGAACCTCTGGAGCCCATAGTCCCCATATAATCCCTTACAGGGTGATATTAGATACGACTTAAAGGGGCTCTGTCACGCACGAGGATACTGCTGCTTTAGGACAATTCTGTACTGAAGTCATTACTTAGGGCGTTTACCCGCTCGCAAATTTCTGCTGAAGAGTTATGAAGAAGATAATAAAACAAAATTTCCATCAGGGAGCTCTAACCATAATAATTGTTAGTGATTTGTACAGGCATAGCATCAGTAAAACTTGCAACGTTGGCCCAGCAAGTTTCAATCTATGTCGATGCTTGCTATCCATAGCAACAGACGACAGGAACAGTTGATTGATGGGCTTCTGACAGGAAACAGTTTAAACGCCTAAATATACTGTTAAATAACAGAAACTGTACGTCCATTATTTTTGGAATTTAATGATGCAAAGAGACGGTTTAGCTTTTTAAAAGGATAGAAAATAAAGTGACGAGGCTAAGTTATAACTAACCCCTCTCCCCCCAAACCGCCAAGCCCCCCTTCCGCACCCCTCACCTCCCATATCTATCACCAGGACTTGACAGTCAATCACTGACAGGTTCAACTAGATAAAAACTCTAAACTCTGACCAATTCCCGTACGCGTACGTGTACTGGAATAAAACTAAACAAAACAAAGATTGAATAGATGGGGGCAAACAAAAGATGGTATTTTCTTACACGTCAAGCTTTGCCAAGGTTATGAAACAATCGTGGCCGAGTGCCAGCGATGACACGCTGATGAGTCGAGTGGACGATTTAAAAACTTAGCGGTTGTGGAAGTTGCTTTACAGCCTATTTTCAAGGCACAATTTAAATTACAGCGTTTGAGAGGTCAAAATAAACCCCACTTTAACAACTGCATGGGCGGATAAGAAATTTTCGTAGAGTGAGAGAAAATTGTAGAAGAATCCGAACGTTCGCTTATTGGATAATTTTAACGATTTATAACAAATTGAAAAGTTAAATCTAGATAATTTTTTTTTCTTATTCTATTCGCGCTTTTCCGAAACATCTGCAATATCATGCAGTTCTGCAAAAAAACATTCAAGAAAGTTTGGAGAAAATAGCCGGCATGATCGCACGTAAGCTCAATCAGTTCGATCCTGGAGCAAAGGGATTAAGACATCAAAAAATATATAAACAAATAAACGACAGTTATTTCATTCTAATCATTATTTCGCCGCATGAGACAAGCTTCTGAACGTGACAAAATACAGTTCTTTTATATGCCTTGCCTTGCAAGGTCTTCAAGGAAGGGTAAATACTGTTGTCCGCGAAAAATAACCCAAAAAGCTCGCGTTGCAGAATGAACACTGAAAACGGGAATTTTGAACCGGCCTCCCTCAAGAGGAATATAAAAGCCGATTAGCTTAGAAAAGGAAGCTGTATGGGATAAGGCATAGTACAAGTATCAAAGGCCAAAGTTACATAAAAATAATGTAGCGTGTCACCTTTTGGATATGTGCGAGTTCTCTTTCACAGCAAATAGGAGAAGCGCAAAGTTTTACTGTTTTATTTTTTTTTTTCGCTTCAAGTTTGACCTTAACACAGACAGAAACTCAAGGAACTGTGAGTTGACAACTGACAGCGTCAATGTCAAGGGAAAAACCCCCTCCCCGCCCCCAAACCCACCACTCTTTCCTAAAAAGGACTTATTTGCCCTGTTTCTACTGTTTAGTTTGGCTTGGATCTGCTCAGATATTAAAGCGGTATTAGGGAGACTTTGCCCTATAAATGTGAATATACAACAGAGAAGTGCAAGGTGAGTCATAGCAAACTAGTTCCAAAGAGTTTGATTTATTAGAGCCGGAGCGAAAGCATTTACATGTAGCTTAAATTTATGACTCAACATAGATAACCGAAAATTTCAGACTTGGGTTTATTCTCTCGGTACGGTAGACCTAACATTCGGTCGAGTTACAAGTTTATGTGAGCTAGCGAGCAATTGCTGCCAAGAAGAAAACGTTTTTGCAATCCACTGCTATGGTTCAAGCCCAGAATCAATCCTCGAGTCGTGACATGTGCATTGATAACTACACAACTTGCTGAGACATGTAAAATCTGTGACTATTCAACTGAGCTTTGGTGCTCTTTACCCTACGTTTTTCACACAAAGAAGGAGGTTCTATTCACAGTCCCGTGACAGAAACTCTAGTAGACTTTACCGTAACTTGATTTTGTCTTCTGAGTTTTAAAAACATCAGCAAGTGGAGCTCAATCAAACTCTAATCGTTTTGTTTCATTCTAATACAGGAAGGAACAGATATTTAGCCTGAACACAGCAATCGTTAAGATAAGAGAGAAACTACCGCTGAGAGTAAGTATTTTACGAAGCATAAACATTTTTTCTTTCACACAACACGGGATTCGCAAACACTCGATGACATACTTCGAGGGGCTTCTTAAGTTCATGTGACCCGCACAAACATTTGATACAAAGTACTTTTCCTGTTATGGCCAGCTGTGGGCAAGGTAAGAAATTAAACGCACGCGCAAGAACGCCCTTCCTCCTGCCCCCCCTCGCGCGTAAATTCCTTCTTTTCCATTTCTTTTCTTTTTGTCAGAATTCTCAAGATAAATCAGGTATTTCCTTACACAAAGCCTGATTTTGTTTACAATACTGCGCATTCGGGATTTTTTCCAAATTGAAAGAACCTCAACGTGCATCTTTTTTTCTATGGGGAGTGAATTCAAGTCGCTTTCTCCGTAGTTTTGGAAGGGCTATCTTGCGGAAGAAGCTCAGGTTTGGGATAGGTCAAGAGTGCCTTTGTTCTAAAGATTTCAGTTCTGAAGCCCAGCGGTGCTGGTTAGAACAACCTCTAACTGTTTAGGACAGTTTTGGCAGTGTACAATCTTTGACAGAGCTCCTGCTTTTGAGTAGCCAAGAAACCCAGGCCAAATAATCTGCGTATGAATTAACTATTGTTTTCATATCAAAAAAAGTATGGACACGTGGGATTCTTAACAAACAAATCAATCAACAACATCAATGCCGGTATCAGAACAAGAAATGTTAACAATTTGTCTTCCCGAAGCTTACACCGATGGTTGGGAGGGGATGTATACAACTCAAGCAACTGAGGTTCTAAACATTTTTCACCAGACAAGACGTCAAACAAATCCGTGTACTTGATAAAAATCTGTTCGAGACTTAACTGATGGTGTCAATTAATAGCCGTTAAGTATATATCAGCGGTGCAAAATTCACCACCGAGCATGGTTTTGAAATTGACAATTTGCGATCATTAGTTTTACATAAATGAATTCCCCAGAAGCGAAGCGAGTACAAAGGAGACAAATGCCCCCCCCCTCCCCCCCCCGGAGGGGTACTCCCAATAATGGAATAAGGGACCGGTCATTATTTATCACCTGGGAGGAGGGGGGTAGAAGATTTGGGGCTAAACAAGGTGAAATTTAGCCGACCCCCCCCGCCCCACTTTGAATGTAACTTCACTGAAGTGATCCCCCACCCTAATAACATTTGATGACTTTCACAAGGGATGCAAAGTTCTGAACTAAGGGGTATCACTTGTTTTGTTTGGAAGGTATACGAAAGGGGCACCTTTTTCTGTCAAAAATGGTATATAAAAGAGTAAGGGGTTGGACCTTGGGACGGAGCCTCCGGGGATAAAACTTTGTTGAGCACCCCCCGGGGGGAGGAAATGCAAAGAATTTCGTCCACAAAAGAAGCCTGGTGGTGAAATTGGCTCTTTTGACGTAAATAAGCATAAGAGCTATAAGAAACTCCAAGCCCTCAGCCGTCATGATCTCCACTGAGGGCCTATTAGGAGTCTTTGGACTACCGGATACTTTGGTTAAAAAACGAAGAAAAACAAAGATGACATACCCCCTAGCTAGGGGGCCTCTCCATTTACTAGCCCAACCCACATAAAATGCTCGTTTCCGTGGTTACTTTTTCAAACAGTTAAGGTTTGCATGTATATCGTCATGATAGGGGAAAAAAGTGAAAAACAGGATATCACTTGAAACCACTTTCAAGAAACTTCACAAACAGCTTAACCCCAATAGAAGCCCAGCCATTTCAGTCTCATTTATGAGATTTAGAAAGAGAGGATTAATTTGATCATGCAGCTGCAAAACAAACCTCCTTGTCTAAAAAATAATTAAGAATTTTTGGCGTTATCTTAAACATGTTTTTCAAAAGTTCAAAGAGAAAATACTAGATGAATCACTTAAATATGAAGGAAGTAAGACAGAGACTAAGGCGTTGAAAGACACGGAATTAAAAATACGTGTCATTATTCTTGTCGCAAGTGTCATAGAAATTCCAGTAGCTAATATTCTGCTGAATCTGCCGCACCAGACACAATGATGATCGAGTTATCGAATTCATTGGGCAGATAAGCATCAAATTGCCCCAAAACGTCAATCGCAAAATCAACTTTTGGGAAGTGCTTAGTTTCCACAGGTCACGAGTTGTTTGTGACACTGCAAGCTGAAACTAAATTTTCCTCGACTAACTCTCGGAGTTGATCTTCACTAATTTGGTTTAACTCCTGTCTGCGACATTATATTGGCATTTTTTCTATCCCGTACGATTGTACGGGTATAAAAATGCTAAGTTCTTTTAAATCATGAAAGTATAAGTCTGTTTATCTCGATGCACAAGATAACGACTAAAACATTAACGACTCTGATGAACTTTGTGGTCACTGAGCAGTACATTGCAAAATACGTAGGTAAAACCGACGAAATACGAGATTAACTCGACCAAAGCATTATAGGTTTGCCCATATTCATTACAGAGAGCGTATATTCCTTCTATTTTAGTACATTTTTGCTTAGTTTATTTAAAGAAAACAAGGCCCGGGCAGGGTCAAACTAAAACTACAGGATACCAGTTTTCCACTGCTGCTTTAATCTTGAGGTTCGATCTTCTCGCCCACGTGGTTCACGAGTTAGGTATCTACGATAGATTCCTCAAGGTCAAAATAAGCTAAAACCATAGATGCCGGGAAGGAGAAAACGAAGATATACTCACAAAGAAACGGCTGATGAGAGAAAGAACGATAACTTGCTAGATTTTTCCGGCTACTATAGAAAAAGTAGACTAGCTTGTATTATTTGTGTCAAGACTGGGTCAAGACATACTTCACGAGATCGCGAAAAAACTTCGAAATTACTGGAGACTTATTCCGTTTTTAATTTTGAAAAGATAGTAGAAGAATGTGAATGCATTTTTCCTTTTTACTTTTTTTTTGTACCCTGAAACGTGACTTTGTTAATGCAATTAGTGAACTTCCAGCCGTTGTTTGCGCAAGATTAAAAATAGCTTTGTTTTCGAATCAGTCACGAGAACTATTTAGGTCGTTAGTAATAACATACGATTTTGTATTATATTTCTTTTCATTTTTTTTTTTTTTAATGTCATTTGCGTCTCAGAACAACGTGTAAAAATGAACGCCAGGCGTCGATAATATTTTTGCAGAAACGCAAATTACAGCGTTATTTTTATTTAGAGGCTCATTGAACAGTTTTACAAACCTAAGAACCCGCAGAATTCGATATCGGTAAAGCTCAACTCTCGTTCGGGATCGAATGAGGACGTGCCTTCTGGAATTCGTCTGCGGTTTGAAACATCCTCATTTCGAACCCGGTATAAAAAGGTCAGATCATCACTTTTGTTAGCTCAGTCAAATCGGAAGGACTTCACAACGCCCATTTCTGACTACTCCATTCGCAAAATACACGCATCGGATCAGTTATAAATTAGAACGCTGTTAGCAGAAGAAGCTAAACTCTTAACCAACATTTTATCAAGTCAAAGCTAAGGTTGGTATAAAAGACTTGTTATGATAGTGTCTTGGTTGCCCATTGTGCGCAGAGTTAGAGAAAAAATAATGTCAACTGAGGAAACTTCAGTCAAACAGTTTTACAAGACCAAGTTTTCAGCGACATCAGTGCTACCACTTAATAGCATTTAATTTTTGTCATTTGCCTCTGAAAGAATTTTTTTGCAAGTGTTAAGTTCCTAGCTAGCCTTACCCGGCAGTCTCAGAAAAACGCTCAAATCTCGGGTACATTCATCCAAAGGCGTACATGGCAACTCGAGGTCTTTAAGCTTATAGTTTCTTGTAAAATAAAACAAGATGAATGAAGCGACGCCGTTGAAAAGGCTGGGAAACATAATGTTCATGAACATGTCTGACAGACGTAGGGACAGAAGAACATATTGGATACTAACAGAACTTCTTTATTTTCTCCTATAAAAAATAATTTAGTAGAGTGACCGTTGATAAAAATTGTGTCTCTGATACAAAATAATTTGGTAGATGTTGATAAAAATGTTAGTGGCAGACGCTACGTGCCCCCATTAATTCAGATTTTCGTTGTTGTTGCTCTGTTTTGTTCTTTTGCCTTTTTTGGAACTGTCAGCTTGGAAACCAGCATAAAACTAGTAAATCCTGATTACATTTGATTTATACCGCATGGGTCTCTGTAAGAACTTGTGGAAGTGGGTCTGAAAGCGGGGAAAGATTGGTAACTGAGGGTGCGCACTAAAGTCTAACAGGATTAGCTAGTTTGGGCGTTTAAAACAATAGTCTGTGAGATGTTCTTCCAACTTTCTGCCATTTTCTTATCTGACTGAAAATTTGGGGTAATGAGGCCAGTTCTCTAAATAATATGCACATGTTACTCGTCTTGGTGGAATAATCATAACAATAATAATAAAATAATAATAATAATAATAATAACAACATAAAGACTTTATATCTTAACACATTGTGAATGCTATTTAATTTTCCCCCTTTTTAATGATTTTTTTTCCAGTGATTGTCTTAGTAAGAATGCAATTGACCTTGAAAATAGTTTCTTCTTTTTATAATCGAAATGAATTGTTTTCATTGAAATGAAATGTTCTTAATTTGAATAATTTTTGTTTAATGAAATGATTTTTTTTTCTAATCAAAACTAAGTGTTTTTTAAATGAAAGGAATTGTAAATAGTGTTTTAACGAAATAGTTTTTTTAGAGTGAATTAATTGTAAATAGGACATACAGACTTTATTGACATGTCAAAATGCCTAGCTTACACACAGTGTAAACTAATTGTGGACACCTAACTACCTAAACTCGGAAACCCTGCCTGCCTCTTAATTCTAAAAATTACACAGGTGACAGTTCTTAGGAGGTTCTCAATGTCCTCTTTTTCACCTGGTTCTTAAAAGAAGCAAGTGTTTCAGAACTCTTAATGTGTGTACTTAGTTTAGACCATATAACAGGACCAATATATCTAATACTGTTTTTCCTAGGGATGTTTTCCTAGGGATTTTTTCCTTTTTCATACTACTCCCACTAGTGTCCTCATGGGGAAAAACGTGGTCTCTGGGTTGGCTGCTGTTACCTTGATGAGCTTCTTTTGCTCTTCATTAAATTGATTTGATTGCATTTTAACGGGAAATTCCAGCTCAGTTTTGAGAATTGTTATTTAATTCATATTTCTATTGATCTCCGCAGAAATAAAGATGCATTGTTTCGTTATCGGAATCATCACTGAAGTTCTACTGATAGCTAGAGTTGTAACATCTACAAATGAGAGATGCAATGCATTGGTTTCGAATACTTGCATCCAGCGTTGTGCTGATGCATCATGCAAATGTGACGCTGTATATGGGGATTTGAAATTTGCAATCTGCAATCAAGCCTGTCATGGCCCCGAATGCAAGACTGTCACGTGCTCATCTGGTGTTTGTCATCAAAAATGCCACAATTGCCACATGGAGTGTACAAGTGACGTTGATTACTGCAGTCAGCAGTGTCTCTCTGGTGCATGCTCATTCACATGCAACGCCAGGCAATGCAAGCAGGAATGCAATGGGAAGGAATGCAAAGTTCCTGTCAATGCTGTCACATGTCAAACTATTTACCCACGTTTTCATCTTGTCATATTAGCAGGTCTTTTTGCATCAACAAGCATTTTGTCTTTCCTGCTGTTAGTAATATCTTGCAAAGAAACAAAGAATAACTGGAATATGACGAAAAGATTTGATAAAGGAGCCAGATACGTCAAGATTCATAGCGTTAGTAGCAGCATTGAGAGCCTTTATTCTCAAGAAGCAGTAGCCGCGTGACGAATGTGTTGCCTGACACATGTAGCCTCTTCTGTGTTTACTACCACTGCCTCTTCACAAACAACCACACAATTGAAAAATAATAGCTTTGTTACAGCGAAACAATGTTAAGAGAGTTTACAGCTTTATAATGAAAGGACTTTGCTAAAAAGACAAAAGGTTCTATGGAATGAAAGAACTGGCAACACATACAACAGACTGTGACAAAGTTGATTTCGTGACACTTATTTATACGAACGAATTGCCTCAAGTATGAGGGAAGAAAAAGAATAGTGGACCATACACCTAGATGAACGTTTAGTCGAACAAAATGTTATCTCCGGTCACTCTGGCCGGTAAAAGGCATCTTATTCAGATGCAAAAGCATTCTTCGCAAAGAAAGTCCAAATACAATTGATTATTTAAACATATCACTTAGTTGGCTTAGTGACTAAGGGGCGAACCGGAAGTTTTCATTGACAGTGTTTTAATATTAATGTGACATGATTATGCTGAATTTAGTTACTAATAGAAAAGGCAATATTTGCCGAAAATAATTTATCTAGTTCGTACAGCAAGGACAATGCTATGAACTGAAGATTTTCAATTAAACACGCACTTTTTAGACGCGTGCCAGGGATAGAGAATTTAATATTTAAACGAACATAAAGTGTTCTAAAAGTACAGCTGAAAAGTATCATCAGATAACATCGTGTTCATACACGAAACATGACGAAACAAACAAATAAAAAAAGGAATGTTATACTTTGTTCTTTGTACCTAAATAAAAATCAATACATTATTAGGTTTCTTACCTCCAAAACTGTTGAAGTTCCTTCTTTGTTGTCCAGGGAAAGCAAAGGAAATCAGAAATAAACGCACGCAAGATGCCCGCCATGTTCCACCAACAAACATTGCGCCAGCCTGGTAGCCAGTACTTGCTGATTGGTCAAAGGAAAACGCCCAAAATGACAGGAATTTGCACAAACAAAGAGAAATTACTGGGATTCCGACTACTTATAGAAATATGGGGTAACTTTCGAACAAATTGGGTCGCATTTCTTACCTTCCAGGTCTGTGAAGGGGTTCTTATACGCTAAGAAAATTTCCCGTCTGAGATGGTGTAAAGGCCTACTGAAAACCCCTAGATGCGGTTCAATTTAATTCTTAGTAATAAATTTATTTTCTTTTGTCGCAAACTCATTATCATTCATAACAGAACCCTATAAAACACGGGTAAATGAAGCAACAGCGCGATCCCAACTCCAAGAAAGCAGCCGCCTTCTCTGCTAGGTAAAAGATCATGGAGCAACAAATTCCCATCCCCTTCCCCTCCCCTCCCCTCCCCTCCCCCCTCTTGCCACTCCTACCAAAAAAAAATTCGAGGATGAAGCCCTGCGAAAGCCAAAACATGCCATTTTCCTATCCTTGATTTGAAGGGGGGGGGGGTCCAAGATTGCAGTTTCACCGTGCTGAAAATCTTAGCGGTATTTTGGAGCTTCGACTCGACATCCCCACTCACCCACCCACACCCTATTACAGAGCGTGCAACTGGTCAAAATAGGAGAAGCGAAACAACTTATATTATTTATTGAAGAAAAAAATGCCATTTTGCGTGATGCTTGCCGCAGAAAAACAACATTTTACATGGTTTAAATTTCCGCTTAGAGTTAACACAGCGAAAGGTGAAATGTGCCACTTATCATGAGCTGACAAAGGCAGCAAACAAAATTTGCAAAGATGTCATCATCACCCGCTGTTCTGGCCCTGAACTGGAATGTGCTTTCGGAAAACCTGTAAGACCTGTTCTGTTTTTTGCTCTCTTGGGAAAAATAATGAAAGAACACTTGAGGGTCACACTTGGGAAGAATGTACCAATAGTTTTCAGTGAAGCAGCTGGAATGGCAGCTCTTTCTTTTGCGATGACGGTGTTCAGGTCTACATCGGTCATTTTTTTCTCTGTTTCGATTGTCCTCCGGCACTTCAGAGTGCCGAGTACTGCCACTGTTTTCAAAAGAGAGACTAGGACGTCAGTAAGCAACCTCCATTGATCAAACTTTAATCAAACAAACTTAATTTTTACGATGACTGTCGATAGCATCGGCCAGGCTTTGAGGTGTATGCCACTGAGGAGCCCTTGAGTTCCATGGGCTCCTGTTTATGCAGGTCAATGTGGTCCTAAAATGCCGTTTTATATCTATATTTTCTCCCAAGGTTGTCATTTTAACTACGTAATGTCGTCTCCTAAAATTAAATTTAGATAATAACAAATAACTGCAAAAATGGGATTAGTGCGTTCCATGGGCGCAAGTACACACCACTGATTTGTGAAGGCAGAGGGACGATTTGTTCTTTTGCCGCTTTCTTTACTTTTCCACCTTTTTCCTCTAGACAAGCCTATTGCTCGGACTAGAATGATAGGGACTTCTTAATAGACTCACTTATGTTTCAGCAGTGTTTTATACTTATTTTCATAGCGTTCAAGCCAGAAGGTGCCGTTGTAAACGATATGATTTTTGGCCTCCCTGCTGGGGTAGGTATTTCCTAAAAGGGTTCTCCAATACAGATGCTATTTCTGACTAGACCTTAGACGTGTTTTTGAGCATTCGTGGGGTGCGGTCATGGGAAAATAAAAATAGATTCAAAAAATAATAGTATAAACGCAAAATATGATTTCCATGCGTCTGTTACATGACAGCGTGCCGCCGGTTCATAGTGCTTGTAATTGATACTAGACAATTATATCACGTAGATTAATAAATGGTCTTTTTTTGGTCATATCGGTCATATCTAAATCATCGTTTTCCTCCTACGTAAACAACCTTAACTTTTAAGCTGATGTTCGCACAAGGGGACAGGTAACTTCATCACGTCGTCTTGGGGTCTCCTTCACTTTCCCTAGGCTAAAGGACGAATACTGAACAACAGGCAAACTTTAGATTATTTCTTCCCGAAAAACAAAGGAAAACAAGTTGAAGAAGGTAACATTATACTAAGCTAGCGTTATTGGGGAAATTAAAAACGTGCAGCGGGTTTACTAAAGAAGCTGCGTCCGGATTTGATCACTCCCTACAGTTTTATTGACATGAATAATGAATGAAACCTGTTTCTTGCGTACAACACCCGGCAAGGAAAGTTGGTTCACGAAGTTTCTCTCAAGCTTAATTTTTAAAATCGTACACACTTGCAGGATAATATTATGGTTAGATTAAGAGCCTTCAAGGCAAAATGTTGAAACATTTCTAACATAATTCCTTTCCATGAGATAACACTTTTTCATTTGATTTATCTAGACTTTCAAGCTAAATATAATTCGAATATTTATTTCCATTTTCTAGTGCTAGACGAGTGCGATTTTCTGCGTTGTCGGCAGTTTCAGGCCGGACGCATTAGCTCTTTAAATTCTAAATAATACAAAATCATAAAAAATATTCTGAGCGCATTTAAACTTGTTGAAGCATAGTACGTGCGGTTGGCGCTCGAAATAAATGGCTTAGCTAGCCTTGGGACAGCCTGTAAGCTGACGTTTGATGATGGAATTCCTTTCTTGGAAAAGAAAAGAGAGAGTGAGAGAGACGGAGGCAACATTTAAACTAAACATTTATTAAAAGCAGTATTTCACTACGTGCTATTGGGAAAAAGAAGTATCAACCCAAAGTGTCAACGCCTTTTCGGGGCGTAATATCCGTGTGATCACTCCAACGAATTCCTTCTGGTGGCCCGGGAGAGGGGGGTTGTACTCACCATAATGGCCTATACAGGGAGGCTCCGCCCGAAAGGGGTACCTTTTCCAGGCTTCAAGTATATCATGAAAGGATATATGGGTTTTATTTGTTGAAGTATATGAAAGGGTAGAAAAAGCAGTAAGGGGCAGTGTCTCCCCGCTCAATTTTTCTGTCAAATATATAATCCCCCCCCCCCTCCCCCTCGGTTTGCTAATGTACCTTGGACAGAACTCTTTAAGGTTGATATTCGTAAAGGAAACCTAATTGACTGAATCTTGTGCCCTTTAGGAAATACTTCCTGGCAATCATATGCTTATCGTTTTAGAGCTCGACTCAGGGACGCCTTGAGAGCCAACTGTACGTGCCGGGGGGAGGGGGGGGGGGGTACTGCCATATATGGGCTATATAGGTATGTGTCGCTGTGAAGGGTATGGTTTTCAAGCAGTTTACTCTAGGATAGGGTATATAAATCAGAGCGTTTGGGTCTAGAATAGGGTATCATTTTTCAGGAAACTGATCAGTTGGTTGAAGATTTTATCTAGACTAGGTACACAGCTACTCTAGGATAGAGGGGATTTGGGGAGTTTACTCTAGTATAGGGTAGCAAAATTCAGCTGAACTAGCTCTGGTATAGGTTAAGGGTTCCAGGGTCCCAGCGGCACATCCCCACCCAGAAATTCCTAAAGTGCCCCCCCCCCCCCCGGGCGTACGTGCCAGCTCCTTTTCTATATTACCAAAAGACAAGCAATCAACGCCGGTTCTATTTTTTGCGAGCTTTGAGGCTTTTTCTCTTTCTTTCTTTCTTCCTCTCTTTCTTTTCTTTTTTTTTTTTTCCCTACAATCCACAATAAAGATTTCAACTGTGATCAACATCAATCGTGTTTAATCGTTAAGCGCCTTAGATTTATAACTATAGGTCGGAATAAACGACTTCTGTGAGATGTCCCGCCGTGAAAGAAACGTCATTTCATACATACTGTGGTCAATTCATTGTACTTTATACCAACTGTTAATTAAGCCATTTCAACGCTCTTAACAACTTCGGGAATCATGTCAGTTGTCACAGCAGTAAATGCGATCAATTTGTATTTTTTGCCTACTGAATGATCGGATGTCATTGCAAACGATGGTGAAGGATGATTTATGTTTTACAACCAACATTTTGGTGAGACACTCTTAAAATCTTTACTGTAGGTTGCCTCTTGGCTTAAGTCAGCTCGGAACTCCCCGTAGAGGCATATAAAGGTTCATTTTCATCACGGTTCCAGTCTTCCATATTTTTTAGTTAATATTTCAGTCCTCAGTGGAGAAAACTAGAGAGAAAGAACTAATGCAAAACTAAGTCAGTTTTATTCAGTATTTCGCGACATTTTACCAGTACATGTAGCTGCAACATTAATTTATTGAATTCATGACCGTCGATAGGACTACGTGAGATGGGATGTGACGTAAATGATAATAGCGATATTAAACACGGATTACTTATAATGAGAAAAAAAAAAACAATAAAAAAGGCCTGTTCATTTCATCACGTCATATGCACATTTTGGCTGTTTTAACAAAATGTTGTTTTGAAGAACCAAACCAAAAGGCAATGGTACAGATATGAATAAAATTTGTTTCAGGGACGGAGGCAAAATTATTTACCAGGTCACAAAAAACGTTTGTGAAGGCCTAGTAACCCATTTGGATTAATTGCTGTCCAGAAAATGGCTTTATCTCGTTCAAACGGAAGTATTTTTACCCTACGTGTCGGAAAGAGTGGTGTTAAGGACTTATAATTCCCGGCCAGCTTTCGCAATTCTGACAGTTCTAATGTAAGCACCAGGAAACAAGTAGTTTTTCGTCGACAAAGAGCTATGGAAAACACTGCTAAACAAAGACAACTAAGCGCCAGGGATCCCATTAGTTCTTGGACAGATCTGAAGTTTCCTCAACATTTCAAATTTATTTATTACAGAAATCGTGGACCCTACATTGAATAGAATGTTTCCCGTGGTCTCTTAGCCCCCAAGGCCAAGACAGATTACTAGACTATTCATGACACACGTCTGAGAGTTACAGGAAAGTTAAGCACATTATTTCTCAGGTTTCTGAAACTCGTGATTAAGACTACCACGTGTGACAAAGTTGTCATCATTTATTAAACGGCTACTTCCTTTTACCTTACATAGAACACCAGCTAAATATAGATATAAATCATCAGTGTATTGGCACATTATACAGTAGAATGCTGTAGAAACTCTTCATAAAACGAAGTTTCACCTCCAGACAGAAAAAAGTGAGGCAATATGAAACTTAAGACCATTTTTTCATCGCAGGACCTTCTATTACAGACAAGCTTTTCCTCACTATGACGTCAACTGGGAGTTTCCACTCTCAATCACTTGTTCTGTAATCCCCAATAAAATCCTTCAAAAACCCCTCCTTGTGACAGCTTATTACTGGTTGCCGAAAAGTCTGCACAGAACGTGGAAACCAAATTATCAGTTTACCGTTTAAATCTTTACCTGGATTCTTTCATACAAGAGAACACTTCGGGCGGAGTCTAACCACGACAACTCGCAGGTTAGTTCGTGAAAGTCAGGCTTGAGTTATCTCCAAGTTGAGGAAATTGGTGCCTGATAGTTCATCACTATGCTGCACGTCCTTCACCTAGCAAATAAGCGTAAGCTCTGGAAGAAGAATGATTCCGAGTATAGTATAGGGATTTCCGAGTTCATTCCGCAGCCAGCAAGAGCACCTATTTGCCAGAAAATCGCGAAGAAGTCTCTCGCCCTTAGTTTACAAGTAACACTCAAACCGAAAGCCGTGACAAAAAGGCAGCAGTAATGGATCGAATGAAATCGCTTGGAAATTGTGAAAAGAAAAATATTTTATGAGCTACCTTTAATCAATTACTAACGCGATCAGCAATAAGCAACTGATTCATGACACGTTTTTTAAACAAAATGAATCGAGTAAGATGCTTGTGGACTCAGGCAAATAGAAGAACAGTAAAATTCAGATAATTTTGTGCTGACTAAAGGGATGTTAAAGGGCATGATGATCTTTACTGGAAGACCGCGTTTAGACATGCACTGTCAAATTAGGGACAGCAATAATGTTTAAAAACCGCAAGACGTACGAGAAGAAACAGGAAGTATCAGCATTGACTTCATGATCGATTTTCTCGATTCGCCTCTCGCAACACTGTTAGCCACTAAAACTGAAAGAAGCTTTAACTGTCCGGGGAATTGTCAAAAATAAGAACTCAAAATAAATCCTTTGAGAGTCTGTCAAGTAAGATGTCTTAACCTTTTAAGCCGGCTGATATCAACACACAAGTCCTTCTAACTAGTGCAAATTTCTTCAAGTATACACAGTGAGTTGGGACTAGATGTCAAAAGATCCATACAAGAATTTCTGGGCGGTTGCCTTAAATCTCATAACTTTTTTCCTTGAATATGCCTAGATATTGTGAGGAAAATTTGACGCTAATAAGCCGGTATTAAATGTGTTCTCCGGTAGCTTCCCTTGATGCTAATCAGGTGAAATGATTCTCTTTATATAAGGCAAAAACAAAACAAAAAGTTTTTTTTTCTCAAAATTGAAAACCTTTATTCAGCGTCCAGGTCTGAGATTTCCTGCCTCTAGTTGGGTAGAAGTTTACCTTTGTAAACTTTCTTGGGTGTGCAGCCAAAGCTATGCGTGTAACTAAAATTGGAATAAATTTGCTGTTCTGAACTATTAAAGTCAGAGTAATACCGTTCAGTTCCACCGGCAAATTCTGTGACTTCAGCAAGGGCCGCGAAGATTACGAAACTTTTGTTCAGTTCTTTTCTTTTTCGGTTCCACACTCACAAAAAATTGATTTTTAAGTCAAAGGAGCAATCTCTCCGTTGTTGGTTCAAAGAGGGACATCTTTACATTTGTAGGAATATCCAAAAGCATGAGCAGTACGTTCGGCTTGAGTGAAAAATTTAGTAGCTTAACCTACAAGGCCTCATCTATATATTTTAGCCTATTTTCGGGTAAAAATTTCTCTCCTCTTCCACTTCGCTGACAAAAAAGGTCGCACCGACTCCCCAGCTGCATCTTAAGTTTCCCACAGAAACAGTTATCAATCTTTGATTCATCAGGGAGTTTTTGGTCTTGGGTTCCGGTTACGTAATAGGAAACTATTCTAAGAAGCACGCGCAAGCACTTGCAAGGTCAAAGTCGCATCACAGACAGGAATCGAGAAAAAAGAAAAAGGAACCCCAAGTCCAAAATAATGATAATGACAATGACAATGACATTAAAATCGCATTTCCTCAAAATGGCATAGCCTTTCCACAAACCTCGCCATCGGCTAATCGGCTGAATGGGGGACGTCTGAGAGAAGGCTTGTACGACATTGACCGTCGTCAAAGGCGTTAAAAAGGCCAGCAAAACGCCACCTATACCCACTTCCGTCCTACCAAGCGAGAAACCACATAGGATAAAATTTTTAAAATTCACGCAAGTCAGCATGAGTCAGAGAGTGTTACAGAATCCACGCGTAGGAGCGTTTCCGCGTGACGTCATATCCACCATGGTGGTGTCTCTAACTGATGAAACGAAGGCCATGTTGGTGCATCAAACTTATCCTATGGAATTTGAACCTTTTCGCATGTAAAAACTTTCTTTTGTTCCAAAACATTTGCATTGCTGCCATCAACGTTAGTGAATCTGATGTTTTTCTTTTCTTTAGATAAGATGATTCGTCAGGTTGTTATGATCTTCACCGTATTGCTCGTTGCAAAAGTCACGGTAGAGGCAGAAAGAAACGTTCACCAGATCAGGATCAATACAGAGACACGTTATCAATCGTGTAATGACACAACATGTGACTGCGGAAACACGGAAAGTATCCAGCCCGTCAAGAGATGTAACCAAGCCTGCGCAGATGCTCGCTGCAAAGCACTGACTTGTTTATCCGGGACATGTCATCAAGAGTGTCACAACTGTCACATGAAGTGTACCAGCGACGTCGATTATTGCAGACAGCGATGTTTGTCCGGAGCATGCTCATTCACGTGTAACGCCAAATACTGCGTTCAACACTGTAAAGGCGGACAATGCATCTCTCCTTCCGAGAGTGCTAACAACCTGCTTTTCCCAAGAGAATATTTGGTCTTGTTAGCTGCACTTTTCGCACTGGTGGCTATTTTATCTTTTACACTTCTTGTACTATTGTGTTGCAAAGGAAATTGTTGTGGCGAACAATCTAACTACCTCAAAGCTGAAACTTTTTCCGGTAGCCTCGATAGCCTGGATTCCGAGTCGTCATTTGTATAGTAGAAAACGATCAAACAATGCAAAACTTTTTCAAAGATTTAGGAAAAATCTTCCCGAGACGAAAGGGGACGAGATACTCCCGTCAATTCCCGTGAAGGTTCTCGAATCCTAACTTAAACAACAAAAAAGCAGTAATAATAATAATAATAATAATAATAATAATAATAATCGGATTCAAAATATCCGATCGCACGACCAAACCAGGACACATTTATTTCGGCTTTACAAAAGTGCGTGTAAACACGTTTAACATAAAAACATCAGCTAGGGTTCGTCACGAATCCTGAAAGCTCTCCTCTAGTGTAAACGAGGCTCACGGTTAAACCGAAAAAGGACAAACTATTTAAGTGGACTTTCTAATTATCTATAGTTATACAATTAAACCTTCAAGTCCCAAAAGTGACCAACACCGACTTTCTCCTAACAATATCGATACATAATCAAGTAGAAATGTTACGGGAGTAAACAAAATGATCATCTTGAGAGTCTTGAGAGGAACGTGGGCGTTGCCGTTCCCACGTGTTAGCCACTAATAATTTAGATTTGGTATGACTTTATCTTCTTAGTGCTATTACACTGGTTGAAAACCAGTGTATTTTGTTCTCGCTATTTATAGACTATATCAAAAGTGAAAGAAAGGAAGAGCTGACAGTTTAAATGCAATACCGCAGAGGTCATTAATGTCAGTGTTTAATTTATTACAAAATGATCTAGTTTATTTATTTAGATAGCAGAAGACAGAAAAAGAAAACATTTTAGGAGGCTTTTATTTTATTTCTACGAAGCATTGAATGACGTTTTGAGGGGTGCATATTAAAACTTGGAATACATCTGAAAACTTAACTTGGAATAAATCTGAAAAAAAGGCACCGAAGTCTTGAAAAGTTTATCTATACTATTTTGTATGTTACACATACTAAACACCGATCCTACACCGTCGATGTAAACCCTGCCCACTCCTCATGCGTTTCGTTTTCCGCACTTTCGTTGCGAAAAAAGGCCAGAGCGAAATGCAAGTGACTGGTGACGAATTGATTGGCACGACAGGAAAAAGAAAATCTATTTCCCACCGTCCTTTTCGCGCAAATTCACACCACGAGCGAGACGTCTGAGAACGAAGCAAGAGGCATACGGTACCTCTTTGGAAAACATACTCGTGTTTGATTGATTGGTTCAGCCAGTAAATGACTTTCTTGTTTGAAACACTGATCGAAGTACACACGAGTGAACATTACAGTTCACTGGAAATTCAACCTCCTTTTTCTTTAAGGGAAAAGGAGGGGGTACGTGAGACCCCACAGAGATGTAGTTAGATTTTTCAATATTTTAGCAAAAATAAAGGTTAAACCTTAACGCTCTTAACCCCTGAGAGAAACCTGCACCTAATTTCTCCACACCAATTCAACAAATTCTTCTAATCATTAACATGGGAAATGTATGTAGAAAAATGTATGGAGAACAAATCCCTAAATATCATCGCAGGTAGCTAATCTATACGCTAACGAACCCAAGACAACAACACAATTATGACATAGCTATTAAAGCACTCGTTTCTTAAGACTGCCGATGACATTTTGGGCCCAGCAGAGACATGTAATGAGGCTTTAATGATTGATTATGAGGACAAAATCAAATGCATGGTGTAGTTCACACGAAACCTCTTCAGTAGTACATTTGCTTTTTTACCATTTGTTTTAGATCCTTTCTTTAAATAAAATCTGGAACTTTTCACAATTTGTGACACAGACGACTGAGGTCAAATCAAGAATGGATAGTAGTAAAATTAATCGTTCTTTTATCGTGCGCATCAAATGCTTCTTTGTTTGTTTCGTTTATACATAGTTATTAGAGGAGACTGGTTATGAAAAGCGGCAAACATCAATGATAAAAACAACAGTGCTGCAGTTTATGTTCAAAGCACCGTGAAAGTGCACAATCCTTTGTTTTCTGTTGGCAAATTGTTACGGAATAAATTAATGCAACGTTTTTATTGGTCAATACAATCAAAATGATAGGAATTCTTTTGAACGTTGTGCACTTTCAGGTCCACAAAAACATATAACAAAGGAGTCTGACGGGTTTCATAACCATTCCACTCAATTAACTATGGTTTATAGCAGTGTTTTTGCATTCGGTTCTTTTGTTGTATACTTGTCTGCTTTCTACAGCTTGGACTTTCCAGCCTTAGGTTGAATTTCTCTCAGTTTCATTGCCAGACCCATGTTCCCTTTGATCTTAAGCTTGCCTTTGAAAAATGCCTGATAGGAAAAAGGGAGCCGTTTGTTATAATAGTAATACTCCAAATTCAAGCGTTTCTAATAAACCAGACGTAGTTAATCAATAAAAATCGATCTCGGAAATCAATCTAAATCATCGATATTAATCGAATTAATCCGCCGATAATATCGATTGATATCGGAAATCGATAGAAATCGAATTCACAGAAAAAAAATAATTTATCAATTATCGATTAACAAAATCGATAACAAGAGATAGGAATCGATAGTAATCGATAAAAAATCTTATCGATTTCTATCGGAAAATCATCCACATTAATCGAAATCACAACTGTTTTTCTTTATCGATTTCTATCGATCGATATCGGAAATCGATATTCATCGATGATTGATATCTATTACTATTGATTTATATCGATTATTGGTTTATCGATTAACTATGTCTGGTAATAAATTAGCCTGCTAATACAGCCCGCTCGCCTCGGTCCTCGCCGCTGGAGACGTTTCGCGGGAGACGTTTCACGATTCGGCCTCAAAAGTTCAATAACGCCCGGAATCTGATTAACGAGCTCTGATTGGTCGACGTAGTAATTTTATTTGTTGCTTAAGAATGACAGATAAAAGACAAGAAGTCACAACGATCAAATGCAAACCCCATGGATCTGCCAAAAATAGTTTGAAAGCGGAATTCTCTGGCACCGTGCAGGGCAGGAATTTTGGGGGCCGAATTGCAGACGTCTCTTCCGCGAAACGTCCCAAGCGGCAAGGAGCGAAAAGAAACGGCTGTGTTCGCAAGCTACCAATAAATAAGAGCTTCATCATCGATTGTTAGCTGTAGACTGAACAGAAAAATAAATGGGTCGTCACGTTGTATGCTTATTACATATTGAATTATCGAACGGCAGAATTTCGGAAGAGGACAAGATTCAGAGTGACAGACAAACAGCTCAGTTTTACATCTTCAACTTGAAAGGGTAGAATGAAAAAGAAGAGTAGACGGTGTCAGCTTAGTTATTTACTTTAGTTCGCCAATTCTTGGCAGGGTTACCGCAACAGCGCGTGGAGCCATTTAGTGGGACCCATAACAGTCCCCGCCCCCCCGGTAAGAGAGACGCCACAACGCTGGGAACTATGTCCCCTACTCTTTCCGGACAGTGCGTGGGTTCTTTCAACGTCCCACAGAATTTAAATGTGCAAGGGTTGTGAGAGGGGCCTACCGTTTGCAGATGTCTTAACAAAGGTAGCACTTTCTTCTCACTTATTTAAAGGCCCTGAGTGTTGGCCTGGCCGGGGTTCGGACCGGTGTTTATCCAATTGAGCTAACCGGGGTGCGGTCAAATCGCAGCCCGTGGCTAAATTGCGGAGGAACCAGAGAGGTGAGATCGGACGTCAGCATGTACTATGCTGCCGCTTCAGTCCATGTATGATATCATCTCACCCACCCCGACAAATGATGGCACAAGTCAGAAAGACCTTGACTCCAGGGACTCAATCCCAGGGAGCTTTAGCATCCACGACGGCGACGGTAGGAAAAACGTCACTTTTAAAATGAATTCGCGTTTTTTCAAACTTTGTCGCGTTCATTCAAAGTGCAGGCGTATTTCCCGGAAATCAGTTTCTTGGGGACTTTTAACACTCAAGTTTAGAAAGAGAAAGAAAAATTCGTCGTCGCTTGTCTACGTCCTCCTTAACACGTCAAATTAGGCATTTTCACGTCGTGGTCGTGCAGTGAAGGCAAAGAAATGTACAAAAAAAGCGTGATGCACGTGCAGAGTTGTTGTTTTGCTTATCTAAACCTATTGCTTTTTTGACGTTCTCGTTCCTGTCGCCGCTGTCGTTTGTAAAGCTCCCTACTTTTTTAAACAATGTGACGGGTTCTATTACGTCCCCTTCCAACTGAAAGGTAAGGATGAAGGAAACAATTTTACAGGAACTATGTTCAGTCTACAAACTTAAAAAAGACACTTGCTAGTGATATTTCCCCCTGGAATTGCATCTTCTGAATTGCACTCCAAGGGAACTGATTTAACTCTTTTCGTTGTTAACACTGCTGCTCTATCCTAATCGATCTTTAAGCCTCTGTAGGCGGGTGTGTAGGGGGGTATTAGAAAAAATCATTGCTCACGATAGGTTATCTGGATCAAGAGATAATGGCTAGATATATTCTATAAATGATACGTACTGTTTGTGGATTCAATTTTCCGCTCATCAACTGCACAAAATCTTCATCGCTTATGGTCACTATACAATCAGCTTTGTCTGCAAAGTAAATTTTTAAAATATGTAGATGACATTCACCTCGAAAAAACTAACTTCTAATCTTAGTAAAATAGAATGTGAGCTGCTGAAAAGGAAAACGATAGGAATCACTATTCTCTCTGGGATATCCGCAATAAAATAGCCCGGTTTCAACTCTATTACGTAAAACTAGCCCGTGCCTATCCTTTATGTATTTCTTTATTCGACTTCATTATAAGTCATGAAAAAGAATGATGATTTCGGTACTGAGAAATATACCAACTAAAATTAGTAATTCTTTACTCCTTCAATAACGTGGGCAACGTGGCCTTATGGACAAAGCACTTCGAGCAGGGAAGAAGGTACCTCCCATATACTGGTATGTATTTTAAAAGCAAAGCGAAATGAGCGAAACTCCGTGGCAACGCCACTGCAATCCGGCCTGGAGTCCCGTTAATCAAAATGAACGTTTTTAGCAAAGCAGAAAGGGGCTAAATCCAACTAGGAGCACATTTCCCCAAAAATTTCAAATTATTCTAATAATAATAATAACAATAATTACTTTTAAAAGTCCCTCGCTACAAATCGTTTACCTGACGCCATAAATTTTAAAGAGCCGTCTCCATTCTTAGCATCCACAATCCACCACGCCTCTTGTCCGTTTGAATTCTTAATGACAAATTTGAAAATCCCCTTGATCTTCTTCACTAGCTTAGCACCCTCCTAGTTTAACATAAGAATTGAGAAAAAGAGAAAGAAAGAGTAAAAAATAAAATTGGTTTTGACGCAGTTACTTGCGTAACCACAACACCGGATCCACATCAGTTTCCACCGTTTTACGAAAATCGGTCAGATTTTTCATAATAAACATATTTTTAACAATAATAGAGCTTTCCAAGTAAAAATCTGGAAAATGGTCTGGACAAATGTTTTCTTTTTCCAATTTCCGGGCATTTAATCCCCACTCAATGAATCAGAAACCCCGGAAAGGGAACTTTAGGGAGTTAATATCCAAAAAATTCCCGAGGGTACATGCCCCCGGGCTCCCCTAGAAGCTTGCTCCCTCGGCGCTCGTTTAGGAAAATCGCTCAGTATTTATCCTAGATCCGCGCCTGAGGTATAACCCTTATCACCAAAATCGGGTCAAAATGGAACAAGTGAAAGAAAGGCTCTCCTTTCCACCTTGTAAACCAGCCTCCAGAACCAGCTTTGGAAATTTAGCCGCAAACAATACCGACTGAGGTTAAGCGTCTGACACAGACGACAAACAGGTATGTCAAGTTCCAATCAGCTTAAGTCCACTTGAAATATTGGCAAAAAAGCTACACAAACTATTATCATATTGAAACTGATATCTAAGAGTCAAAAGATCAGGTTTTAGCGTAGTTTTCTAGAAAAAAAGCGTTATTTACATACATTGTAGCAATAACAAAAAGGTGGATGTTATACTAAATGTTATAGCCTGCTTGTCTCAGAAAAAGAAAGACAACAACAACCAGCTCGTACGTGCGTCTTCACTTTCATCTTACCCTTTTTAATGTCTTCTCCATCTCCTCAAAAATGGCTGCCGCCTTAAAATCGTCTTTTGTTACAGCAGAAGTGTACGAAGGTACAGGACGAAACCTACAATTCAAGTTCATAATAAGTTAAGCCTGGTTCCCCTGTGACGCCGAACAAGCTGCAACATGGCCGCCGTTCCTGCCTGGAAAGTTGTTCTGATATGAGAACTGAACCAAGAGTCACCGGAAAGAGGCAGCCTCATTCCCAGGCTCCTCTCCTACTCGTCCTCTAGAGCGAGGGAGCGTTCCACTCCGGGGGACGAGCAGGACAGGACCCTGGAAACGAACGAGGTTGCAACAGAGGCCGTTCGCCTCCATTCCTACAAAGTTTAAAAAAAAAGTGCACCACCATCGACGTCATGGTGATTCAGTTTTTTGCGGATTTTTCTTTAAATCCACAAAAGAATCATCTATCCTGTAAAAGTTATTTATCAGGAAAACAATCACCATGACACTGATGGTGATTCACTTCAATAAGGAAGCTTAAGTTCCATGACCACATTTTATGCGTGGACAACGATGAACCTGCCAACATCTTCGCGTTATATGAGCCCTCCTATGGGAAAAGACTCCCAGGAAGACAACAGAATTCCTTTTCCAGTCAAGTCGGGGAATGGATCGACCCGAATGAACATTTCTCAGAGGACCACATTGTGGGCAATGCCCAAGACCCTGCCGGTTGAAGATGCCTTACAGTCGACTGCTCTTCAGTCAACCGATGATGATGATGATGATGATGAAGGAATTTTTTAAGCCTAACGTCAACACACAAACGCAAAAAGCAACTTACTTTTCACACGAAATAAAGAATAACAACTGTCCCATACCTTCTCTGATTGGGAAATCCAAGTCGGTACAAGGCCACAACAACAGCTCCTCCGAGCCCAAGGTTATGTTGTAATGCTATTCTTGCTCCGGGAACCTGCCTCTTTCCACATTCACCACGAAGCTGGCGGCAAAGCTCTGTACATTGAGCAAGACCTAAATAAAACATTACGTTACCAATGTGCCAACAGCTTTTGAGCTACTCATAAATGGACCTTGTTCAAACGGGGGAGGGGGGGACTCCACAGGGTTTTATAACGGAAGGATTCGCCCCACGGTCCAACCCCTTTTCCCTACGGTATGGACAAATCACAAAACCAGAACCATAAAATACAAAAATGTATCTGTTAACCCTTTTGGCCCTTTTATTAGACTGAAAACACAGATTTCCCTACCATTCAAATACTTAATCCACTAATTAACACTTTCGGGTAGAGCCTCCTCGTAAAGACCATTATAGGGAGTACCCCTCTCCCCCACCCCCACATACACCGGGGCCGTGATGCTTTTCCTTAAATATTACCTTATCAGGGATTGCAAATTTTATTGATGAGTGGAGTCACTGTGACTTCCGCTTCACAAATTTTGGAGTCATTTTGGAAAATTTGGAGTCAAGTATCACAACGGAAAAAGCCATTTTCAGACTTTACAGCACGTGGTCCTGGCATGAATAACTATCGTGATGGATACACGGTGTAGCTGTGGGGGTCCACTGACCTAGAAAGCTCAAATCCATGATGGCGGTCATCGAGTAAACTGTATCGTAATTTACCCTCTTCCTGTTTTGTCGTGCAGTATCATTCTTTAATTTTGATGATTTAATTAAGGTTTGCAACGTTTACAATTAACGTAGATTGCATTTGTTGCGAAAAAGGTAGGGACAAAACTGTGTGTGTTACCGAAAATTTCTGGAGTCGAAGTGGCCCCCTGTTTGTTACCGAAAATTTCTGAAGTCGAAGTGACTCCCTCCGTAACCTCTGTGGAGTCATCTGAACAATTTTGGCGTAAAATACGCCAAATTTGGCGTATTTGCGAACCCTGCTTATGTTTCAAGGTGAAAACCGATTTCAAGGCATTGATTGGCTTTTTTCTTCCTTTACCTGTGGCCCCTAGAGGGTGTCCTTTGGAAATGAGTCCTCCACTGGGATTTACAACCCATTTTCCACCGTAAGTGGTGTCTCCTCTCTCCACTAATTGTCCTCCTTGTCCTGAAATATTACATACGTACAACAACAACAAAAATAAGGTTTGCGCCTTTAAAACTCAAATAATGTTCCACTTTCTGGAACCTCAAAGAGAGCAACAACTATGGCGACGGCTACAAAAAAAGCTTATTAAGTGAATTCATGCTGCTTCAAACGTGTTTACTCCACTTTGTTCAATTCGACAAATTTTGGCGAATTTTTCTGGAGATTAATTCTTAAGGACTGTATCAAAGTTCAGGAAAAGGAAAAGAAAACCGTCGTCTTGTGTTCACGTCCCACACAAAACGTGAAGTTAGGCCGTTTCACGTCGTAGTCGTGTAACGAAGGCAAAGAAATGTACTAAAACGCGTGATGCACGTGCAAAGTTGTTTAGCTAATCTCAACCTATTGCTTTTTAGCCGTTCTAGTCGCGTCGTCGTTGCTTAAGCTCCGTAAACCTAGTATTAAGAAGAATAGCTCATTAACTGGATAGAGGCCATGGGCACTAAAACGAATTCCAGAAATAATAACCATCCCATGTCTTTAAATAAATGCTTGACCAATTAGGCAGATGCTCCCTTTTAGTTTAGCAACCTAAAGCTGATGCCCGCCAGATTAAGCTCTTCAAGACAAACAAGCACTGAGACCTCGTTCCAGTCTTCCACTCTCACGAGCGAAGCCTGGGGCGGTGGCAGTCCTACTGCATGACGTTTCAATACTAGGTACAGTTGAACCTCGATATAACGAACCTCCATATATCGAAACCCGCGTTACAACGAGCAATTTTCTTTACCCAGCAATGGTATATGGAAAAGAACCTTGATATAACGAAACCTCGTAATAGCAAACAAACATTGCCAGTCCCTTGGCCCAACGTTAAATTCTCCTTTCTCCACAAAAAAAAAAAGAAAAGAAAAGGAGAAAATATTAAATCAATAAATGCCACTCTAATTATCGATGTGAAACAGAGATTTTTACGACAACAAATACAGACTTACCTTCAGCACACAATCCAAGTCCTTCATACGTAAGCAGCTCGTTGACAGAGAAACAGTCATGCAGCTCTACTACTTGGACATCATTGGGTGTAATGCCTTGGTAAATAAAGTACAACGTATATAATCAGAGCTTTCTCAGATAAACTGGTTTGTGATTCAAAAGGCTTTGGTAAGTCCCTGCTACATTTTACCATTCTTCGAGGTTCCATTGTGAAGTTAAGTCTGCTTTTTTTCGCTAGTGGCATGTCCGGTTGTAGCCTCCCACGCAGGCGTTTTTAGGGGAGCTCGTATTTCTTCCCTCCCCACAGGAGGGAAGAAATACGAGCTCCCCTAAAAACGCCTGCGTGGGAGGCTAGTCCGGTTGTAGTAAGAGAAACTTTGGGAAAATCTCTTCTGATGGAGCTGAGACAAATGACCAACACATTTCATCAACCTTGACGATTCAACCGCACCGATTCGTTCGGCTCTTAATTCTGTTGCACGCTAACAGACGAACACGTGCTTCCGAACAAAAGCTTACAATATTATTGTGTAACGAGAGGTCAGACTGTTTCTATGAGCAATACGTGTCTAACAAGCCTACCAGTTTTCTGAAACAATTTCTTGGCAGCTGTTTTAGTCATGTCATAACCAACCTGCAATTCAAGTCAATAATTTAGGATTCCCACCGTCACATCAACAGAATCTAAAGCTGCCTACCTGGGGTAGAGCAGTTCAATAGTATGGCACACAGTGTTAATTCTATTCAGACGGAGAGAAGGCCGTACTGGGGTCATAATGTCTAGTGTGTCCGTAATAGATTTGCGACAATGCATCCGTAGGCAGTTGTTCAGGCGGTCCTGCTTCATTGTGCTTCTTAGGTAGTTCAGGAGTCGCCTGAGAGCGGAAAATGTGCGCTCTGAAGTCGTGATGTCACCGGTATTGTCAAATACATCGGTAAAAGTGTTTTTCGGCACCAAAACGTGGGGGGCGTGGGGAGGGAGACTACGGTCCCCCTACTCCGCCGCCTATGTAGGCTAACTTGGGAAAATGCAGGTTCTTTCTCACGGCTTTTTACTGTTAAACCACTCACCAGCTTTATACAGCTGTTTTCGTTGAAGGTGCTACTGAGGTCAGTCGCCATCTCCATTCCAAGAATTTCAACAGCTTTGTCCTGCAAGTTGTGCTTCTTAACAAACTCAGCACTGGCCAACACAGCCGCTGCACTGCCATCTGATGTTGGACTGATATGATGCGGTCATAAATGAATAAATACAAATAACTATTTACAAAAAATTCTCACTTTAAAAAGCCTGTTTTATAAAAGAGTCAACGTATTTGCTAATAATAATAACAATCTTTTAATAGGATGCTCCATCACAAGAGTGGTTTACATAGAGGTCCTAATTACGAGATGTATATTATATAATACAATTAAAATATAAAAAAGTTAAGCTAAAATCGATATATATGATACAAAAAAAAAAAAAAAAAAAAAAAAAAAAAAAAAATTCAAGCTAAAATCGAGTTACAGAAATAATTAAAGCATACACACTACAAGTACTCAATTATAAAAAGCAGAAAAAAGACACTTCTTAAAAATTGGAAAACTTGCTGAGTTTCTTACAGTTCTCTCTAATTCATTAAAGTCTTTGAAACAGTGGTACCGCGAACGTTGTTTTCCCCAATTATATTTAATTTTGGGGAGCTTGATAGTATCGTTATTGCGCGTATTGTAGGAATGTATATCACTCTTTCTTACAATGTCCAAAGAATGATTAAGTTGGCCATTAATACACTTGTATGCATATATACATCGATGACATTTCCTACGTTCTTCAAGATTCAGCCATCTCAAGACAATCAAAGCATCGGTGGATGAGGAGTGAGGTGATCTATCTAATATCAATTTAGCTGCTTTGTTTTGGAGAATTTGCAATTCCTTCATAAGTGAGACATTGTCCTTGTCACCCCAGACTAAATCAGCATAATCAAAAATAGGTAGCACTAAGCTATTATAAAAAAGTAACCGGGCATCATAAGGTAAATAATACTTAATCCTACGTAGAAGACCAAGGTTTTTATTAACCTTACATGAAATATACTCAATATGGTCGGACCATGTGAAAGTTGAAGACAACATAACTCCCAAATATTTAAAACTACTTACAGAATTTATATCAGTGTCAAAAATAGATAACGTGAAAGAGGAAATACCAACAAGTTTCCTATTACTGCCTATAATCATGGATTTCGTCTTAGTAAGATTTAAAGTTAACTTATTTCCATGTAACCACTGGGCAACTTTCAAGAGATCATCATTCAGTGCCTCTTCTAACAGGTGTGGCTCTTTAGCAAAGTAGTACAGGACCGTGTCATCAGCATACAAAGTCACTTCGCAATGCTGGCACAAGAAGCATTGATAGCCTCCCAGGCACACGGTCATTATCGTTATCGTTATCATTATCAATATAGTTATCGTTATCGTTATCATTATCAATATAGTTATCGTTATCGTTATCGTTATCATTATCAATATCGTTATCGTTATCGTTATCACTATCAATATCGTTATCGTTATCTCTATCATTATCATTATATAATAATATTCTTTTCACTTACCAGCATTGTAGTTTGGTCAGTGGATCAAATACCATTTTAGAGTTCTTTATGTCTTCCAAACTGTACTTTGTTCTAAACTGTGACAAGCTGCAACATTGTGGAGATGATAATATCATAGCTGATATAGTGCATTCACTTGTTTTGTTAGTTTATCGTATCAACGACTATGTTTACTACGTGCCTGCCAACTCTCCCGGTTTTACCGGGAGTCTCCAACTTTTTCATCAAATCTCCCGACCACGCCCCCCCCAGTTTTCTGCCCCCAAAAGTCAAAACATTCATGAATAAAAGTTGAAAAGAACAATTGATCTCTCAGAAAATTGAAACAATCATGTCTCTGCAGCTACGTGAAACTTTTTCTGGTTTTAAGATACAGTGACCAGTCCAAAAACCCTCTGCTTTTCAAATTATACAATGAGCTACAATGTATCTAAAACCTTTGCACCCCCCTAGTTTCTAAAGGCTTGCTACATCCTAGCAGTAAAAAGATGAAAGCAATGGGATCATTGTCATTAGGTGTTTAACAGCCTAGCCAGCAACAGTCTTCGTTTGTTCATACTTACGGGTTGTCCACTGAGTGAAGATGGTTCTTGTAAGCAATCTTGGCAAAATGATCAGGCTTGGTTCCTGTTAGAACATGGATAAAGATTTGAGAACAGCGAAAGTATACATGTAGGTACATGTGTTAAGTGCCTTGATTTCTTGGGGATCAAGAGCACTGATTTAAAAGATAAATTTTTGCTCTAGATTTTTGCAGCTTTCCGTCTTTCCCTGAGTGAAGAGAGTGAACCACAACAGCAATATTTTGGCTGAAAGGACCACCAAGATTGCCTCAGTAGTTTCTGAAAAATAGCAATTCTAAAGTAAGGAGGGGTTATGGAGTTCAGTCTTGTATAGGGTAGCAAAATTGTGTCTGGTACAAGCTAAGTTCACCAGGATAGCAGTGGCAAATCCAAAAAATCCTACAGTACCCCCCATGGGGTTGCTTTGCCATGCACAGCCTTGCCGTATAGAGCTTCACTATGATATCATACACAGGATGTGACAAAAGTGCTGTATGATGGCCCAGGGATAAAGGAACAACCCATCAGGCTAGCATTTTTTAACTTATTAGTTGTCCAATGGGCAAGCAAAAATTTGCCAAAACAAAATGTTAGTAAGAAGGGGGGTCCAACAAGCCAATACTACAGGCTACATGACTTGTGTAGGATAGTAAAATTGAACAACAGCTTCCTCATTTTTATTATCATTATTATTTTTCATCTCACCCTGATACGCATATAATTTATCTCACCATATTTTTTCATGTGTTCCTTGCCAGCATTACCAAACATCTGAGGTGTTAAAGGTGCTGCAGCAAGTCCTTCTTTATTAATCATCACCTCCAAGTGTTTGTCCATTGGTGGTGTCCGGTCACCGTACTATGAGAAAAAAATTTACAATTGCATTAATTAATGACAAGGAGCGCACAATCATTATGGATAACAGGGTTAAACACCTCAGACATGAAAATGCATCTAGTAGAAAAACAGGACTCCTTAAACTGGATGCCCAATCAGTCCAGAAACAACTGGGAAGAGTCACTGTTTTGTCTCTTTTCAGAAAACTCTATTTTTTCAACGTTTTCGTCTACTTTAATGACTGTCCCGTTTTTTTGCCAGATGACTTTAAAGTCTCATATGTTAAATGATGCATGACATAAAACGGCTATTTGTCAAAAACAAAATACAAAAACACTGTAATTCTGGAGAGCTTTGATTTAAATTAAGTACTATACCAAGGATTTCATAAACCCACAAGACATGCCTACATAATACTTGACTGTTCATGAGTCAAAGACTTATAAATGGCCTCTATCTGAGGCACATTAAGATTGCTTCCCTCTTTAGTACACAACACATACATCAAAAACAGTTGCTGTATGATTAAAAGGTATAAACTGCCACAAACCTTTGTTCCCAAAGACCCTCTTTCCATTTTCTCAAATCCCAAGGCCAGAACACATTCTGATATACCTGTACATAAAAACAACATTTAAAAGATGTACATGTATGATAAAGAGAATAAAATTATCATTATTTCAGAGATGCCAACCTCTAGAGATTTAAAATCTGGAGACTCTCTGTTTTTCACTAGCCCCCTACCCCAGAAATGTAGGACATTATATCAAGTCTTACATGAAGTAGATACTATCCAAATTCGCGATCATCGTTTTGATGCCAGAAATAATCTTTGTCAGCGACTAAATAGGTGTAAAATGCCTCAGAAACCGTACTACAGTTATGAATAAGAAAAATTCAAGTTTTGAGCTAAAAATGGGCTAAATTTCAAACTAAGGCACAGAAAAGCTCAAAAGATGATTTTATCCGGGAGATAAAGCGACCCGTACAGGAGACCGCGAGATTGGTGTCGTATCCGGGAGACTCCCAGATAATCCGGGAGGTTTGGCATGTATGTTATTTATAATTGAGATTTACTTACTGTGAAACTCACAAAACCATAAACACCAGAAATATTTATGGAATGTTATTATGTTGTGATAAATAAGCCAATAAGGCACGAGAAAACTAAACCGCAAAGAGCAACGGTAATAGCAATTATTATTGTGGTTTTGAGGTTTGCTTGCGTATCCTGAACTTTACTGTGATTATTGTGATCGGTTTTGACAGTAATACGGTTGTATATTAAGAACACCAAAACTGCTTTCACTGATTGACTTAAAGACTGAGCTACATGAACATAATTATGAAACCATTCCAGTTAAATTCCAGTTAAGTTCATTTCTGTTTTTGACCCCACGTCTCTGTTCAGCTCTCTGTTTTAACAAAATGGTTTTAAAAGCTTGGCCTCATTTTGAAATTGACTGGGATTACAAGCCTCTGACCTCTGACTGATAAGAAAAACTCTAGAAAGTAACCCTTGTTAAGCAGAACTTAAACTCAGCTCTAGATCTTTAGATGGCAATTCTGATCAATGAACTGACAACTCTGATAATGCTGCATTTAAAAATTAAAGAACTTAAAAAAGTTTACAAAACTTAATTTGTCTGTTTACCTCCTTCAATCAACTGCTTTCCCAAATACAGTGCACTGGAACCAGTAGAACACGCATTATTTACCTGCAGCAAAAAGGTTGCATAAAAATAACAATGACCAGAATGGCTAGAAGTGGCTAACTCAGATCGACTTATCAGCACTGGTCTGTCTGTAACCAGTGGCTCATGACTATAAACATTAGGGACCTGACATGTATACAAGAGCTCAAAGATGATGGCAATGACTAAGGGTTTTTACAGACTTTTGGATGCAAACTTTTTCCAGACTTAACTAAGTTGCAACCGAACCCAGGCAGGCAATCTGTGTTCACCAACCCACAGAAGCAGACATCAAAGACTCTCCTTTTATCCTAGAACCATAGTTCAGTAGAGGGGCATAGCCAGTTTTTTGACTAGTTGTAGGCTTGGCTGACTTTCTTTTCCATATATCCTGCCTTGAAAATTGCATGCATGACTAGTACACAATGACCTCACAAACACTTTAAGCTCTTAAGCTTATTTAGCTCACCCCAACAACACATAATTTATTACAAGGGGTAGAATGATCAAACCAAAAATTTGTCACGCCCAGGCCTACAGGTCTAAGGACAACTACGTCCGTTGCAGAACTCCCTACCTCCAGATATCTTTGAACATCCTCTCTGCTGATACTGCTCAATTCCGAAAAAACATGTCAAAAATCACCCACCAACCACTCAGTAGTTATTTAAGTTTTGTTTTTGCCTTTTGTTGTTGCTTTTGTTTTGTTATTTATTATTATTTTTTAATGACCACACCAGCTGTTAAACATCAAGATATTAGTGGGGTTGCTTAAGCTGTAATGGTAATACAGTCGAATCCCGATAACTCGAACCTTCAAGGGAAATAGAAAACAGTTCGAGTTATCGGGAGTTCGAGTTATCAAGGGTAAAATTATATAGAAAACGATCTGAAGGGAAATGAAAATTGCTTCGAGTTAGCGGGAGGTTCGAGTTATAGAGGGTTCGAGTTACCAGGAGTCGACTGTATTTTAATTTGCGGCATAAAAGACCTTTTCTACAGCATAAAAAATGTAGGCTAATTAGGGCAATTATGTGTAAAAGAAAGATGCCTTAGGAAATTAAACGTGCCTGAAAATACTGCATTGAGGTTCACTCAGTCGCTTTACCATATCTCTCACTTTTTTACTCATACATGCAGTTGTCACATAAATGATACTAAGCAACCATTAACTTACATTGTAAATTGGAATTCCAGTAAGGCCAAGCTGATAAAGAGCTCTCTGACCACATGTTGAATCACCTTCATACAACAAATAAATAAATAAATAAATAAGATATTAACATTAAAAATGCATGTATCTAAGGGAAACAAAGGACACCTAAAAAATGCCAGAATGTTATTTCTGAAAGCAGCTGCCCACTCAAAACCTGATATGATTCCATTTCTTCACTTGAGCAATACCTCAAAAAAGAGAAGAATCTTATACACTAATTTTATGTTAAAAAAAATAATCATTGCTGGCGGCAAGTTACTAGCCTACGTCACAGACCGAATTTAACTCTGGTTAAGCATGTCTGGGAAATAGAGCCAAATTCCTTGTTCTTTCCCGCCATTTATGTACCAGGATTTGAGTATGCGCCATGATTGGCCCGTTAGAAAAGCCATTGTGGATTTGCTAATCAGTATGAACAGGCCCTCTGAAATGGGACATACAAAAATTGGGCTACTTTCTCAGGGGGGGTGGAGGGTGGACTGTGTTTACTTTTGTTCTTTTTTTTCTTAGGAGGCAAAAAGTCAACTAACTTCATCCATATGGGAGGGGGATGGGGTGTGGCTGTTAAATGGAATACGGTAGCCTATAATACATTCTTACCATAACAGTAACCAACAACAGCTTGTTCTATGTTGCTGTAGTCCAAACCTGCATCTTTAAGGGCTTGACTTCCTAAACAAGGAAAACGTGTGAATTCTATTGCTACGATTATTATCAATAATGACAATAATGACTAGTGGAGAAAAATTGAAGTATCATTGAAAGTACCAGGGCGTAACACATCGATCGAAATCGACCATCGGAAAGCTAATCGATAAATCGATACTACTCGATATTACTCGATAATAATCAATCGATTAAGCAAATTAATCGATCAAAATCGATAATCACACAAGTTTGAGCATTGGGTATCGATTTCTATCGATTTCGTGAAATTTTCGAAGATTCCACGAGAAAACAACCGCTTATAATCTGCCCCGAGTAAGCCAATTTGATCAAAACAATAGTGTTGAATATATTTACTACAAAGCAAGACTGGCTTAGTGCACCCTGTATTAACTCTGATTAACCATCGCTTTCATCCGCTTTCATACCTTAACACCGGCTATTAAACAACGCCGAACAACGGCAACTCTCAGGCGTCAAACTAGCAAACCTCAGCAAACGCATTTTGTCAGCAGCCATCATTTTCGGTTTGAGATTAAATTCTTTGACCCACCGACCCATTCAGCATTCACCGGCCCATTCATTCTGCATTCAGTATGCTGCTGAGTATATTAGAAAAATGTGCAAATATAGTCAGTCACGGATAGTCGACAGAACACCTTTAGCCGGCTTCAGCGTGTTTGTCAAACGCATCGGTGAGAGCAAGGCGCGATAGCTAAGAAATTAGGGGAGACTGGGGCGAGGGGGTGGGGTGCCCGCGGCATTTTATCAGATCCTGTTTTGAACAGCGTTTGTGCCATTCTCAGCATTTTTATCAGTTTGATATGAAGTTACTGTTACTGTTACTGTTACTGTTGTTTTGTTACTGTTGTTGTTTTACTGTTGTTTTAAAAGATATGAATTACAATGTAGATAGTAATTAACGTCAATTTTTAAGGTGAATCATTTCTTCGTTTCGATACCCGCGAGAAGAATATATATGTTCATGTCTTACAGTGTTTCACAGCGTCAAAAAGGTTAGGAGAGACAAATAAAAGATTTTTTCAAACAAACTTCATTAAAATGGAATCTTTTAGCGGGAAACCGGTTGTTTTGCTTAGTAGTTGTTTCGCTAACGAACGTCTTAGGTTAGTTCGCTAACGTATATTCTTCGTTCTATAAGCGTGAACAGTACCTTTTCTTGCCCAATATTATCGATCGAAATCGATACTAATCGAACGAAATCGATACTAATCGAACGAAATCGATCAAATCGATAATCACAAAGAATCTGGCAATCGATTTTTATCGATTTCCGATATTAATCAATTGATTAGTATCGATGTTTATCGATGTTTATCGATTTTGATCGAGTATCGGAATTATCGATGTGTTACGCCCTGAAGTACAAATAAGCTGTTAAAGGTCGTCAAATTCAATGCTAAATTAGTTAGTGTATAAAATAACAAAAAAAGGAACAAATTAACAAACCTGCTTCTTTAGCCATATCAGGATAATCAAAATCTTCTCGTCGGCCAGGCTTTTCAAACTAGAAAACATAGTTTCACTGTAAAGTACTATAGGGTTCAATCTGGTTCACTTGATCGCCAGCTGACTCATCATGGCCGCTGGATCATGACAGTTTACGTAACTTCAAATTGGTCCTGATTTACAGACAAAACTTATCTCATCACTCACCTTTGTCATGCCGACTCCAACAACGTAAACTTTTCTTCCTGGCATGGTCGAAAAAGGAGAATATTTCCTTCAAAATAAGACTGGATGAGCCAACGCAGGACAGAGCGGTGCAAAGACGAAGACTCGGCCCAGGTTCTTTGACCGTGCTGATAGCGTGATTGCACAATTAGCGGATTGCGTGACATTTCCGTTCGAACCATAACTCCGGCTTGACTCCACAGAAAAAAAATTGCCCTCAGCGCAGGTATAATTTTGGTAGAAAAAACGTTCATTGCCTTGTTTCTTCTGTAATACCGGGAAGGACACATCCTCGGAGACCCAGGGGCAGATAGTGGGGGCAAGGGAAAGACCAAGCCTTGACCAAAGGGCCCGAGGACTCTGGGTACGAGAATGAGGCTACTGTGGAAACTGTGGAGGCCAGGGGCGGGGAGAGGGTGGGGACACGATGGAAGCAACAAAGGTATCAAGGTCGCAGTATCCTAATCTAAGGGGCCGTTTAAATGGAGAAATTTTTCCCCGGACAGAAGGGTTCGGCCCGTTTCAAACGTCGTGCTACTGCCTTGCCAAACTAATTTGATCGAATTAAATTCGACGGCAAGCTTTGCCGTGCTACACGGCAGTAGCTCGACTTGGTTTCGAACGTCGTGCTACTGCTGTGCCGAACTCAATTCACAAATTATAAATACATTGGAATACATTTTAAAAGTTCACTAAACCGCGTTTTATTTTTTTTTATTTTTGCTTTCCGCAACAGCTATTATATTCGACTGAGTTAAATTCGACGTCTAAAACCAGCCAGCTTAGAACGGCAGTAGCACAACGTTTGAAACAGGCCTTATTCGCCATCCTTGGGCTTGGGCGAACCAACTTTTCCTACATTTTCGTACAAAACTTGGGGAACCCCTTACATGAGAAACAACTCAGCGAGAAGATAGCTGGGCTGCCTTTTCTTCTTATGAACACTTTGGCTGGCCGAACCTGTCAACTCAGTCAATGCGAGACAATCAGAGCATGCGAGTGGGTTAACTTTTTTTCTCAGTTGACTCGGCTTAGCCTGTCAGCAAGCTCTCCTATTTGGGCAAGCGAAGTGAGCCTCGCGAGAAGGCGCGAGCAAGGGGCCGAGGAAAGGAGCAATTTTCACCCGCGCGCTCTCGCGAGACTCGCCCAAATAGGAGAGCTTGCTCGCAGGCTAACTCGGCTGGAAGGTTTAACCTCATTCCCGGGACAACTTTTCTCCATAAAAACTTGGTCTAATTCATCTAATTCATGGAGAATCAGTATTACGACTCTTTATTTCAAAATTTGTATTTCTTTGACATTTTCATCTTCTCAAATGAATATATTATAAGTCATAATTAATTGTAAAACCCTTTACGCCTTGGCCCTCTTGGCAGTGACTCGATGGGGGAGTTAAAGAATTTCTGCGGGGCGAAGTGAGTGAAAACTAAAATGTCCAACATACGGCGGCCATCCTCGCTCCTCGAGCACACTACGCATGTCTGCCACCTTATTTAACAAATCCTCCTGAATCAAGAAGCCCCGTTTGAGTATCTGAGGAAACGCGCCATCTTAGATCCTACCTCGTAAGTTGAAATAACTGAATTTCCAGTTCACTATCAAAATTCCCCTTTTTTTAAGCGCTTTGTACGGATTTTTGTTCCCCGCGCTTAACGCAGGTTAGGTGTTATCCAAACAATGCTGTCACCGACTGCAAGGTTGTCTCCAACAATGGCCTAGTTTTTTTTTTAAGTTTCACTCATTTACCGAAACTATCCGAGCTGTCATCAGAATTGCTAAATATTATATCGAAAATGTTTTTTCTTCGTATCTGCTCGGGACCAATAGAAGTCTCGAAATCTGTTCCTGCTATTGACCCGTACCCTCGACGCTTGGCGAACCTTTTCGGACCAGGGCGTTTAAAGCGACTGCGGTAGAATCCAGTGGCCTTATAAATAATTATGGCCACAGAGTGAACGGTGGTTAAAATCAGCAGCACGAAGCAGATTACATTTGCAGTGTTCTGGTCGTTCAAGTCTTGCATGGTTGCCATAACACAAAGGGCGAAGAGGTACAAGGTTTCTACCACGTTGACTCTTTTCTTCTTGTATGGCTGAAATATGCTGTGTACTGCGAGAATCAAGCAGCACATAAGGATCATGACGATCTGAAAAACAGCATATTAGTCAAATTTTCAGCTGAGATATGGTGTAGACAAGACCAGAAAAATAGTGTAATTAAAAGCGCTTTAAGACTGGGGAGAGCGAGGAGCCTCTCTCGCCCCAGTTCTTTCGCGTTTATTCTCAATGTGTATTCCCGCTCTCGCGTTTTTCTTATCGCTGGTCGCATCGGTCAGTCGGAGAGTCTACAGCGATTCAGTCTGTTTGGGATGTTCATGATATGGTTTACCTGGAAAGAGACGTCTTTGCGTAACAGCCGAGCGTCCCTTATCGTGTTCCAGTGTCTTTCTGTTGGGCCAGGATGTTGGAAAAGTGCGCCAGTTGATAAAACGGGGAAAAGGGAGGGGGAGGGGACGTTTAAGACGTCTCTATTTGTTTTAAGTCATGAGCATTGTTAGTTGTCCCCTTGTGGGGATGGCCTCTGAAAAGTGAGGATATTTTTCACAGGGGATATCTAACGACAGAACATATGAAGGACTGGGGACCAATTAAGTATTAACTAAAACACTTCTGGTATTACAGCTAAATATTTTACTGGTAAAAACTTGCTTCGATCTTTTCCAAAATTCTGGAAAACTTCACGTCGCCACCAAAATTACATTTCTAATTCGATAGAAAAGAAAAGAGGTAGGCTCGATTACCAGCTGCTGGTCGGGAAAATAAGCCCGCAATCATCCCCCGAGAGAGCTCTGGGGAGCATGAAAGACCGGCCTACGGAGAGTGGCAGAAAACGAGCCTAGAGAAGACGTTGAATTGGGTGGACGACTCAGTCTCATTTGCATGGTGATTCGTTTGCGGTTTGTATAGTGGACAGCTTAGTCCAAAAGTTTGATGGCCCACCCTGCATTCAGTACAGTCAACTGTCTCTTAACAGACACCTCTATAAGACGGACACCTCTGTAAAACGGACACCTAGAGTTGGTCTCTTCCCTTCTTTGCTCCCCCTATTCGACTCTCTATAGCTATAAGACGGACATCTCTCTAAGACGGACAGCTAGTGCCGGTCCCAAAGGTGTCAGTTGACTGTAGTACTAGAAACTCATAAGTGGTTGATTGACAACCCCTTATGAGTTTCTAGAAGTACGTAATCTAGGGCGTCAAGTCTCTCACCTGTTTAGTATGCCAAGTTGGAATAAACGCATACGTTGCCATTAACAACAATCTCCTGAACAAGTCCACAGACCACCACCATGAGCAATGCGGGCTCAACCCATTCGTCAGTGTGCTGACGTACTGTGGGTCAACTTTCCAGTAACCTTTGGTTAAGACAAGGACGATCAGGGGAAGAGGAACAACTAACACTGATAGAACAAACATCGCCAGAAGTGCCATTCCGAGATGTTCTCCCTTGAAGCACTGGACGTTTCCATCGTAGAAGAAAACGAGCTTTCCACCAACTTTGGGACAGTGAAGCAACATAAAAGATGTCACAGCAAGGTAGTTGTACACGAACAGCGTCATTAACCAAAAAGACTGCAGGCTGGAGTTTTTGCGAAATTTAAACCTGACCAGGTAAAAGCTCGTACTCAGTATGTACGAAATTAGAAAGACAATAAGCGTGACAAAGGGCATTAGGTATCCCAAGGCGACGGCAAACAAATTATTCATTCCTTCCACCACACAGCTGTGAAGATATACTAGGGGTCCTCCAAAATTTAGCAGGTCTGCAACATAGAGTACCGATTCTCCAATGACGTTATTGGGCTCGAAGATAATAGGGAGGACCTGGAAGAAAAACAGGGGTCCTCGAAGCTCGCTGGACATGCTGGGATTGACGACAATAATTATGACGCATACAGCGATAACAACAACGACGACCGCAGCGATTACCCACGCTCCATGGCCCTCACATTCAAGACATTCTTCCATTCTAGAAAATCAATTTGAAAAAAAAGGAGTAAAAAGAGTGAATTGGAGGGTAGCGAAGTGAAAGTCTGCATATATTAAGTGGAACTCTATGACGTGGAACCCTCGGTGAGAAGCCTGAAATATTAAACCTGGTTGCCAAGATACTTCCGTTTGTTTCGCCCAAAGCGCCTCCACCTCGCCCCTACTTTAAGGTTTGTAATCGCCATTGAAAAGAGCAGGCCGGTTATAAGAAGCTAAAGGTCTCAATCGGGTTTTGAAAACCGAACAACAACAACAACAATAATAATAATAATAATAATAATAATAATATAATAGATGTATATGAAATAAATGATATAAGAACGGCGGAAATGAAATCAAATGAAGAATGATCCTCGCTTTTATGAATGTAATATATGCAATTGCGTAGGAAGCCTAAAAAAAAAAAATTCAGGACTTCAAAGGGATTTGAACCCGTGACCTCGCGATACCGGTGCGATGCTCTAACCAACTGAGCCACGAAGCCACTTATGTTGGAAGCTGATCAAGTATGTAATCATATGTTCCCCTGAAAGAGATGAATGTGATAGATGTATATGAAATAAATCATATACGACTAACTGCGGAAATGAAACCAAATGAAGAAGGATCCACGCAGTTGTCAACGCAATTTATGTAATTGCGTGAGAATTCAGGACTTCAACGGGATTTGAACCCGTGACTTCGCGATAACGGTGCGATGCTTTAACCAACCGAGTAATGAAGCCACTGATGTTTTTGCACGGGAACATAATGAACACATTATTGACCAGCTCCCAACATCAGTGGCTTCATAGCTCAGTTGGTTAGAGCATCCACCAGCATCCCGGGGGCACGGGTTCAAATCCTGTTGAAGTCCTGAATTTTTTTCAGGCTTCTTACGCAATTGCATAAATTGCGTTCACAACTGCGAGGATCATTGTTCATTTGAATAATAAAATAACAGTTAATTTTAAAAGAAGGTTAGGCGTAATAAGTTTTTGTATCCTCAGGGTGTCATTTTGTAAAAAGTATTATTTAATTGTGTCTTGTCTCGTTACAAAATACCAAAAAGTATAAACATGTATTAGAACTTTTTTGACCTAAATCAGAGGACAGCAACTTTCAAGTGTTTATATATATTTGCTCCCGTAAGGAGGGATATCCTTCGCTATTCACTCTTTTCGAATGGGAATGAAAATAGCGTCTCGTTTTTAGACAGTTTTGAAAAGCGAAATTTTACCAACAATTCAAAAATAATTGGAGCTGCTGTGTTTTTAAGAGTAATAGGTATAACCACGAGAAAAACGCGCTTAACGAAATTCTCGAAATATTAAAACGCAAACAAAGCTCTTACTAAGTGACATTCAAAAGTGTTACTTTTTGAAAAAGTAACACTTTTCCACTTTTATCCAACTGAATTGGTTTATACTAAAACACCTGAAAACTCCGTGAAGACAAGGCTAAATAAAAGACCTGCCCCGGTCCTTCCCCCTTGACCTTCCCTTCGGGGGGTTAGACAGTAAGTTGTATAATACTACTGACCTTAAACCCACGCTTAAACCTTTCTTGCATTTACCGCACAGCACACCCGTACGATTATGCGCACATTGCTCGTCTATATGAGCTGGGTTAAATACACATCCGGGTAAGTCTCCATCGGTGACGCACTGGCAGTAATGAGAAGGGCAAAAGTACGTTACCAGGCGACCATCAATCACTCCACCCCAGTAACCCTCTATTAGGTACACTGTCCGGGAGTCGTCGCCGCATCTGTTTGGAGAAAGGGGTGAAAAAAGAAAATGATGAGATCTCAGGTGAAGAATATGTGTCTAATTAATGATGAATAAATAACCTGATCCAGCTGAGAAAAACGAATAGTGGGGACTGAACAATACTGAACACTATTAAATCCAAACCTTGGAGGTGCAAGTTTTGCCTATAGCCTGCTAAGTAGACTGTTCACAGTCCCCTATTTTTTCGTGAGATCGTCAAGATATAGCGCGTCTTAGCATTAATGGCGGCCATCGTGATTATCAAATGTGCCGAGGGGGCGGGCGTAGGGAATTATAGCTCTAGGGGGAGAGGGGCGAGATGGAAGCCCGTAACACAAAGCGCTCGATCTCGACGATCTTACTGATCTCTACTGCAAAGTAGTCGCTATTTATTCGGGAGCAAGGATTGACACAGTCCGTTATTGCGCGACCTTCTTTGCGAGAGGCCTTGAGTTCGATTCACAGGTGTGACCTCTCATCCTTAAGATTTCGACTTCTTTCCTTTCCGTGCAGAACGCAGCCGTTTTTGTCACGTCACGCAACACTAATTCCTCTTGGGGAGGGATGGGAAATTTAGACCCCCATGACCCCCAAAACAAGGATAGACAAATGGTGCGCTTCTTCATCCTTGATTTGGGGGAAGGGGGATGGGTGTTTGCAGTTAAATTTCATTGTGTCCAAGATTGTAGCCTAGACCCACCTCAAACATCGGGGAATTTTGTGCATTATTTGCCGCCTCGGGATCACTATTAGCGTCTTACACTATTCAGGTTTAACACGTTTTTTAAAACTGTCTTACCGCGAGACGCCATCGATGGACTTGTCACAAGTGCAAACAGTACCCTGGAACTTGAATCCTGGTCTACAAGGGATTGCAGTGACGTTAAAGAAATATCTGTTTTTCAACGTAGAGAAAATATCCTCAACCTGAAAACGGTGCAGTGTTTTGTTGGTCAGCTGCATGTATACAGTTTTGTTGGCCAGGCGATACGAAAACGGAAAAGACACTTCGTTAAGTGGCGACAACAGACGAATACTCTCGTCGACATGTAGCCTATTGCTTAGGCCTGGGTTGGCTGTTTGGGATATCGTAGCAATGGTAAATACCATGTGATTGAGTTCATCGAATCCTTGAATATCCATCATGGATTTCTCGCCAGGCGACAGCTGCAGGATCAAGCAGAAGAAGAAAAAAAGGACAGTTATAACCTGCGCGCGTGGCAGGCGTTCGAAAGGGAAGGGGAAGGGGAATTGGAATTTGGATGCGAGATCGCGCGCCTCTCGCGCTTCTCACTCACGCGGAATCCTCTTCCCCTTTTCTTTCAAACGTCAGGTTAGGACAGCGACGCCACCACTGGTATCCCCATAAAATGGCGTCTGAGAAAATAAGAGAACTTTTAATTGAGCGTCAAAGTATTAGGCACGAAAGTACTAATTGAGGACACTATTTCGACGTTTCCAGCTGGAGACGGGACCGCCATTTTACGTCGTCATCCGAGCCACGCGAAGGTCTAACCGCTTGCAGGGCAAAGGGAGTACCTTCATTTCTCAGTTACTTTTAAGACCCTGAGTATTGGTCCGGCCCCGGGAATCGATCCCTTGGCCTTTCGCTCTGCAGGTAAGCGCGCGCTCTACCGTCTGAGCTAATCCTGCCGGGGAATGAGCGTAAGTCAGATGACTATTTCGAGCTACCGACATAAAATAAGGACTTTTTGCCTTTCCTTTATTTTTTAACTAAGGAATAAAGAGATGAGTTTTTACCTGTATCTCTTTATCAGTTTTGTCCTCGTCCTCAAAATGATGGGTGTCTGTTGCGATGTCGTACTCTGTACCGGAAAATGGCTGAAAATGCTTGCCAGGACGAAGATAGTTACCTTCATAAACAAAGGTGTTATTCCAGCGGAGGGCCTGATCGACGCTGTAGAATGGAGACTTTTCGTACCATAGGCACGCTCCCAGGGACGAGATGTAAATGGCAGCACCCTTAAGTCTCGCGCTGTTCTTGATAAATGATACCTTAGCCTGACGGAAAAAGTAGAAGTATTACAATCACCGGGGGGTACTGCCATATATGGGCTATATAGGTATGTCCCGCTGTGAAGGGTATGGTTTTCAAGCAGTTTACTCTAGGATAGGGTACATAAATCAGAGCGTTTGGCTCTAGAATAGGGTATCATTTTTCAGGAAACTGATCGGTTGGTTGAAGATTTTATCTAGACTAGGTAAACAGCTACTCTAGGATAGGGGGATTTGGGGAGTTTACTCTAGTATAGGGTAGCATAATTCAGCTGAATTAGCTCTGGTATAGGTTAAGGGTTCCAGGGTCCCAGCGGCACATCCCCACCCAGAAGTTCCGAAAGTATCCCCGCCGGGTACAGTCACACCCGCTAATATGAACATCTTATTATTACGGACAATTTGCTTTGTCCCAGGGGAAAGAAACCCCTTAGATTTTCTCTACATTTACCTCCCTCAATACGGACATTAGCTTTGGCCCCTCAGTGCCCGTATTAACGGGGTTTGATTGTAATTGTTGTTGTTGCTGCTTTTACTTTGTATTACTCTTAGACTGAAGAAACCAAAACAAGGATAGCCCCGGGACATAAAAAATTGAATTTTCCTTTCCTGGAGGGTCATTTTTCGCGGTATCGAGATTGAACTGAAATCGTTTCGTCTCACGTTACTCCTCCACTTTGCACCGAGTAGAATGAAAAGTCATCCTTAGAATATTATCAGCATGTGGATGGTGGACAGTTTCACCAGTCTCGTATGTACCCGTATTTACGAAGATGACGCTTATGCTGTGTTATGATTATCTACCATCTGTCTTGCCATTCACCCCATTCGCGATTTCCCGCGTTGTTCTCTTTGTCAGGTCAAGATGACTGGACATTGGCCCATAGGCGGCGGATCAGGGGGGGGGGGCATACCACAAATTTGAGACGGGGGCACAGCTCCCACATTTTGGTGCAGAAAATAACGCAGGCAACATTACCTGTGGCCTCCATGACATCAGAAAGCACATTTTGTGCCCTCAGAGACACTCAAGAACTACCTAAGAAGCACTATGAAGCAGGACGGCCTGAACAACTGCCTACAGATGCATTGTCATAAATCGATTACGGACACACAAGACACTGTGAAGATTGCAAAGAGGTTTGAGTGTGCCAACGAACAACGCACAGGGCATTTAAGAAAGATGAGCCCCCCCCACCCCCCCCTTCACGTTTCAAAATGCTCCGCCGCCTCTGTGGCCTAGTTCTTTTTAAGTTTTATTGACCTAGACTTAGCTTGCGCGCAGAAGTCTCCATTTTTCATTTTTCATTTGTTGCTCGCGGAAACATTTTGAGCAACAAACGAAATAGAAGTCGAGTGCACCCAGGCTAACCTCGACTTAAAAAAGCGACCTTAAGCAACGACGACGACGAAGGCAGTAAAAACTTCGCTGAAAAGTGAATTTGCGTTGTTTCAAACTTAATCGCGTCTATTTGGACCCGCTCAATATGTCAAATGCAGGTGACCTTTCCTGGAGTTAAATTCTTAAGAATTTTTTTCAAGTTCAAAAGACGAAGGAAGAGTTCGGCTTCGTATGTCCACGTCCTCCATAAAACTTCAAATTAGGAGGTTTCACGTCGTAGTCGTGCAGTGGACGTCAAAGAAATGCACTAAAAAGCCTGATGCACGTGCAGAGCTGTTGTTTTGATCATTAAACCTTTTGTTTTTTGAAGTTGTCGTCGAACGTCCTCTGCGTAGTTGCTAAGCTCCCTTTTGTCTCCATAAAAATGCAAAGAAGACCTTGCTCAATATCCAGACATCCTGACCTCCCGTTTGGCCAAAGGCACATAATCTTTGAATCATACTTTCTTAAACTTGCAACCTTTTTTTATAGCAATCGAATGTCATCAAAGTTTGCCCAAATGAGCTTGAAGAAAAAAAAGAACAGCTTTTTCTATGGGAGGCGGGGGGGGCAGAGGGGCATACAACTAAGCTTCCCATCCCTTTGTCTTTAACTTTGTATGCCCGCTAGTTAAATACAGCGTATAAGGCGTCATCCCTTACCTTCCATTCTGACGGTGGCGTATCGTCTTCGCTGTACTTCACAAAACAGTCAGGATTGTATCGATGAATGTATTCATACATCGCGCGGGTTTGAACCATAATTGCTCCGCCAATGCCGCTGGCAGCATTTTGAACAAAATTCAGTTCACTTCCAGGGTATAGTATAAGCTGACTGGACCTGAACACAACCGCTCCTCCATGGGTACCAGTGTTCTTGCTAAGCTCCAAAGTGCCATTGAGGTGTATCACTCCCTCTTGGAACTCTATAGCACCGGCTCCCTGGTTCATTGTGAAGACATTGGTACCGCTAAATTTCACATGTATCCTTTGACTCGCAAAGGGTGCTGTGTAGGATAGATAGGTCGCTTCATGGTTCTGGATGGTGCAGTCAATAAATTCTGGTAGCACACTAATCGAATAGCCAACGGGAAGGGCAGTATCCAAGCGAACTGCCGCGCTAGCCCGACCGGAATTTCTGTCTAAAGTCACATTTACGAACTGCATAAAGGATTGCGCGATTGGATATGTGTATTGCATCCTCATGGGGTAAATATTGAGACCACCGCCCCTCCTAGACCAGTTGTCACTTATGATGCAGTCCTTCACGAGGATACTGCAAGAGCTCGAATCCCATATCGAGGTGCTAAGTGCCCCACCGCCCTGCGACGCTCGATTACGTTTGAAAAGCGTGCTTTGAACGTCTAATATATTCCCGCCAGAACCATGAGCCGAAAAATGAAACAACCCTCCTCCGAAAGTGGCGCTATTGTTAAAGAAAACACTGTTCTTGACGAATGCTCGATTTGAATTTGCCTTTTCAAGAAAAGCCACAAGCAAACCCCCGCCCAAGAAGTTCAGTTTAGGAAGAACCGAGCTTGACGTAAACGGAGGAATAAAGTTTTCGGAATCGTTTGTGGCCGCTGAATTTCCGGTAAAGTTCGTGTCTCGGACGACGACAGTGAAGTTACTTGACATAAGAAATACAAACCCAGCTCCACCACCGACGGATGTGGTTAGTTCCCTGCTTAGCCGGGTATGCTGTACATTCGAAGTGTTGTTTAAAAAACGGCATCCTGCTATCTTAACGCCACTGTCGAACGCAATTACACCAGCTCGTTTATTTTGTGTAAATGCGCAGTTGGTGAACGAGACATCGACGGAGTTCCAAATCGCCACGACAGCCGCAGCGTTTGCACTAAAATGCTGAAACTCGATGTTTGACAAGTGAATATTGTACGTGAAAAATGTTCCACCCGTTTGTGAACCAAAGATAAAGCCACAGATTTCAAGGGTTTCGTCGCCACAGCGTATCACAGATCTAGACACCAATGCTGTTATAAAGACCTGTCTCTCCTTTCGTGGTTGTGAAATCTGTATTTGGTTTCGCAAATCATGTATCCTGTCTTGAATAACGAAAATAAACGTAGTTTCGTCGCTAAATGAGGCATCATTTAGAATTTCCAGAGCGTAGTTGAGCGATCTGCAAGGAAGAGTCCCATTTGAAGTGTAACAGCTCATGTTATTTGCGCCAAATGATTGAGAGATCGTAACATGCAATGACAAAGCATGTGAAATCCACGAGGCAGCCAGCAAAACACACACAGAAATCATAATAGCGTAATAAAATGTTGATTAACCAAGCGTGTTGACAAATATCTCTTGCAATTTTTTTTTCTTGTGGCGACAAATCTTTTACAAAGAAAGAAGTGTCTCCGATGTCAAAAAAAACGCCTGTGCAAAGAACGGTTTTGAGCGCCCGTCAAAACACATGACTTTCATAGAATTATCTAGGGAGCTCAAATTTGCATGATAACCCTGTTTGGTCAAGAGGGCATTGTTTACCTTGGACTAAAAATAATAGGCGTTGAAAGCAGATGCGGTGGAGCATGTAATTTCTCTTCGACGATTATGTCCTTTTGTGGAGGTCGTGGAGTGCAAGACACTCAATAAATAAAATCCTTACCCGGGGGGGTACTTTAGGAATTTCTGGGTGGGGATGTGCCGCTGGGACCCTGGAACCCTTAACCTATACCAGAGCTAGTTCAGCTGAATTTTGCTACCCTATACTAGAGTAAACTCCCCAAAATCCCCCTATCCTAGAGTATCTGTTTCCCTAGTCTAGATAAAATCTTCAACCAACTGATCAGTTCCCTGAAAAATGATACCCTATTCTAGACCCAAACGCTCTGATTTATATACCCTATCCTAGAGTAAACTGCTTGAAAACCATACCCTTCACAGCGGCACATACCTATGTAGCCCATATATGGCAGTACCCCCCCGGGAATCCTTACAAGATTGATTCCTCACTCGCCAAATGAATGTTCTAAAAACTAGTGTCCCCAAATTAGTATTGGGTTGTTCGCAAGCTATACAGTTCCGACACATTAATAAAGTTTTCTATTCTTTCTCTCTAATGAATAAGGAGTGTTTTGAAATTTTCTTGAGACGAAAAATAGTCAATTTGACCTTTCTCACCTCTCGTGTAGGCAGGCGTGTAGGTATACTTTTCAAACGCTCTGATCGGGTTGGTCATCTAGGGGTGTGCCTGGGGGCTGAATGGAGAATTTTCGGGGCTTTGATCGTCGAGTGTACTCTCAGAGATGCGCGGTTTCCGGTTTGGGTTAAGTCTTTTATTGCCTCTGCAGACTGTTGTGTCCAAAACAAACCTTTTAAAAAACACAGGTCCGAAAATATTTTACTCGATAAAAGTTAAAAAAGGTTGTTATCAAAAGAAGTTAATCGTGCTTCTATTTTTTAAGAAAGTCTTGTGTCCGTCGCATCTCTGCAAGCTAATTGATCATATTATTGCTTTCTTCGGCCATGACTAAGAGAAAGCCTCTTTAAAAAATATAAACGTGTTTTACAAATAAGACTGTAAAGTGAATGGATTTTCTTCGACAAATAATAATTTTTAGAGGTATAAAAAAAGAAATATTTGAACCGATTGAATGCCCCCATACGCCCTTCCAGCGCCCACTGAGACCCTTGTGCATGCAACAACTAACATGTAAAAATTTTAAAAAGCTAGAGACTCATCAAAGCAGCCCCTTAGAGGAAAAGAGGAGAAATTCTTATGAACGAACGCTGAAGCCTGGCACAATCCTGATAAACGATTTCCTTTTTGAGGGGGGAGTGGAGAGGGTGAAGAGCTGTCAGTAATTTACAAAACAAAATTTTTGCACGACTGATTTTCTGGCATGATGATATGGCGTAAAAGGATATCCTGCAAAAGGGAAGGGATGCATAAGTGTGTTCCGCTGGTGGGAAGGGTGGGGAATGATGCTAAAGCATCCTCCGGCTCAAAGACCAACCGCATTAGAATTAATTTCTACGAAGAGCCGTTTAAAAGCAACAACTACAATCACGACAACAACAAGTCATTTTTCAAAGTATTTGCGCCATGATTTGTCACAGAAACCCAAAACAAGCGTAAAATATTATGAAAACGGACAAAACTTGTTTCGGAAGGTTACTGACGTAATAATCCAGATTATCCGCTACGAAAACACTAAAATAGGCTACTACGTTCATGTTGCCTTGATTTTAATTGTTAAAATTTCTGTAAATAGACAACGATTGGAGCAGCTTAACAGCTTAATTCAAAGCGTCATCATCCGTCAGCTAATATATTAAAATTGGGTTCAGGCCCCCGAAAAGGGGGGGGGGAGGGGCGGGGGGCTGGGAAGATTCTCCAGAGTAATGTGCGGAGATCCTCAGCTAGAGGTCCAGGCCCGTTATTTTACACCCCCCCCCCCCGGGGGTACTCCGCATATGAAAGGGGTGGGGATGCTCGTCGTCTCGCTTAGGGGTGTAAATTTCGGATTTTGGTCTCACTTAGGGTGTTCTTTGCAAAACGCCATCATATTTAGCCGTGAAGGTCTCGTTTAGAGTTGCACGCAAAAAAATATAAAAATATATATTTGGTATGCAAAATTAAGGTAGAAAAACCACTGCAAAAACCGTGTACGATCAATCTTACTCAACGTCCGTGTCAAAATAGATCAAATTGAAAACGTTACAGTCAAGAAGGCTTTTGCAGGGACCAATCGAACAACGTGAAATAGAGTTTAGTTGCGATATTTTGGCTGGCCAATACCAGTCTTCATCAGAACCTGCTGAAGACTGGTATTGGCCAGTCGAAATATCGCAACTAAACTCTATTTCAAGTTGTTTGATCAGTCCCTGCAAAAGTCTTCTTGACTGTGGCGTTTTCATATTTGATATGTATACTTTAAATTCGTTTTTATTTACACCATTCATATAATCCAAGTATTCGATGATAATTTCTTTGCCATCATTAAAAGTCACAGTATTTTTCATTTGTCTGTGTTTTAACAAGGTTTCTTTTAGGGGTCAAAAAAAAGGTTGGACCACGCCCAGATCGGTCTCCTTTAGGGGTTTAATTCAAAATTTCCGAGCGCATGAGCATCCCCACCCCTTTCATATGCGGAGTCCCCCCGGATATTTTACCTTCCATTGAGAAATGGTACCCCTTTTACATAGCAATTTTTACAACTCCGGCGTCATACCTTTTAACTGTTTAAAAAGCACCATCCGTTTTAATATGAATGAATCAGTTATCCAGAAAGTTTTCTTGCCGTTTTCGCAGCCATAAGATGCGTCTGTTTCGACACACGAAGGCGAAGACGTGTCAGCCTGCGGCCGACGAAGCTCTTCGTCACACGCGAAAAAAACCTCTGGTACCCAGGGTAGATAGGTGCACGATGGTTTCGTTGCTAGGGAAAAATCTCCCAGATGCTAGCCTGAGGTCGCGTGACGACGCGGGCCAAAATAATGGCGTCTTAAACACCGCTGAAGCTTCACAAAATTCAAAATTCCTTTTTGCCGCCAGGAAGCGGTTCAGGGGCTTCTGTTTTCGGTCTTTGGATTGGTCACTCACTTGACAATAGATTTATTTCCTGGGAGAGGGGTATAATCGCTGAGCTTCTGAACCCATGTTTTCCCCATATATGGGATTTATATAAAGCTATCAGACACGGAATGGTTCTGCTTATACGTTTTTACATTAAGATACGCAAAATAAACAGTTTTAATTTAGAAATCTGCCTTTTAAAGTCTGATTTCGAAAGTGAGGAACAAAAAACATCTTACGAACCCCTCTCCACGTCGTCTACGTCCAAAAGAGTTCATTTGCATACGAATTTCTCGTGATTCTAAACTAAAAAATTAAAAACAGAGTTCAGGAAAATGGCTTCCGAAAGCGCAGAGGAAAGCGGCCAAACAGTGTAAGTACAGCGAGTGTAAACCCGTGTTTTGAAACGTATTTTTCTCCTTCTTCGCCATTTTGAATTCCTCAAATTCCATGCTTTTTTCTTGCTAATATGTTACCTATTTTGTGTTCGTTAGGGAGAAAAAATTGTGCTCTAAAAGTAACAAATGTAAAGAAGACAGGCATTCCTGAAAAGCTACCCTGCGAGCAGAGGCTACATTTTCGCGGTATAAGCTGGCGTGCGAAAAGTAGCTACTTTTCGCACGCCAGCTCATACCACGAAAATGTAGCCTATGCTCGCAGGGTAGGAAAAGCAGATCCGATCGAAAGTTTCATCATATCCCTTTTGGGAGGCTTCCCATGGACTGCGGAGACCATTTTAAAGTGGTAGTGCTAAAAAAATCTGGCCAATACAAAGAAACATTCAGGTCGGTGTTTCGCCATTTTATCTTGCATTTGCGCGCCATCTTATTTATCACCTCAACAAATATAACATGAACGTCCACATGTGTTATACTATCCAATACAGTCAATATGTTAAACAAACCTTCCTAAGGTTGCTACTGTTTGAAGTTACCTGTAGTGCCGAAGCTTCTCTTGCCATTCTCATTGCGGGAAACAAAATCCTGTGTAGCTAACAGCTGACCTGTACTGACACTGTCATGTTTAAATCGCCTGGTTGTATCCAGTGCGCTGCAAGAACGAATCGTTGACATTGCCCATGAAGGACACTAGGGCATAGTGAAATCTAAAGCTATCTTGCTAGAGAAAGTGTGGTTTCCATGCATGGACAAGATGGTGGAAACAAAAGTCAAGGCCTATTTACCATGCCAAATTGTGACCCCAGTGCAACCTCGTCCCCAGGGCGCTTTTCCCTGGCTTTGGCGGCGGGGCCAATGCCAGGGAAAAGCGCCCTGGGGACGAGGTTGACCCCAGTGTACACCAGAGAGCCGCTCCAAAATAATGTGAGTTTTACCCGACAATCCATTTGATAAAGTAAGCATTGACTTTGCTTGTGGACAGTGAAAATCTTCTCCTCCTGATTGATGACTATTAACGTTTTCCATTCGTTGAACCAGTATCACCTATATCTGCCAGTACTGTTATACCCAAGCTTGATAAGCTATTTGCTACTTTCGGAACACTCTGCGTGTTAAAATCAGACATTGGTCCACCGTTCAATGGAGAAGAGTTCGCGAAATTTGCTAGTGCGCTTGGTTTTAAACACGGAAGGGTTACCCCACTCTGGACAAGGGCCAATGGAGAAGTTAAACGGCTCTTAAAAACTTTGAAGAAATGTATGAAAGCTGCAAAAGCAGAAGGAAAGAACTGGCGAAAGGAGTTACAAACATTACTACGCAATTACCGCACCACACCCCATGCAACTACTGACATTACCCCAGCGACATTATTACTGAAACGTGCTGTACGCACAGACTCGTACTCAGTCGCTATTTAAGTGTTTTTTGGGATGAGAGAAGATTGGGGATTAGGTTGAGGCGCGCGAGGGGTCTCATGGGAAGAGAAGAAGGAAAAATAGCCTTATATCCTTTCCATGAGACCCTGCGCGTGCCTCAACCTAATCCCCAATCTTCTCTCATCCCAAAAAACACTTAAATAGCGACTGGGTACGAGTCTGCTGTACGCAACAAGCTACCACAAGTCAACAATGCTAACCCTGTTGCTGAGATTGCCCGCAAGCATGACTCGTCACAAAAGCTCAAGATCAAAACTCATGCAGACAACAAGTGCCCGGATGTCAAACCCTGTGATGTCAACCTCGGAGAGAGCGTGTTGCTAGAAGACCGTTCAAAGCGTCTAAAAGTGCGACTGTATATGAGCCTACTCCAAAGACTGTCATGCGCAAGAAGGGTGGCATGATCACTGTTCAAGGGGATGGTCGCACAATTACTCGGAACTCATCATTGTTTAAGGAACTGAGCAAAACTGTACCAAACAGCTGTGACAGCGGCGATATTCAGGACGATGATTTCAATGCACCGTCAGACAACCCCCCTCCAGTTTCGCCTGACGTCTCTGTGATTCCGAGTTCGAATGCTTCAAACCCTACTGTTCCTTGCAAAACCACGAACGCTCCGACCTTGGACAACCCTGTTCCTCCGGAAGGCATGATGCCTGCCTCTTTCTTTCGTGTTAAGGAAGCATCGCAAGCAGTTCCAGTTCCTCCTCCATTGCAAAGGTCCTCAAGGAAAAGAATTCCAAGGAAAATCTTTGAGCTTTTGCTTAATAGCAATCGAACATTAAGTGAACACTGAGAGAACATTGACTTGAACTGACTGTTCAATTCTTCTGTTGATTTTTTATATTCGTCTAGTTTTGAAGTTTAGCTTGAATTTGACAACTCAAATCTGTTAAGTAGCCTTCAAGTTTGCGCGTTAAATAAGTTATTGTTGTTATAGCAATCGTTCCTCAGTTTTGTATTTTATGTAGTTTTCCAACTAGAAGGAAGGAGATGTAATGTTCATGTAATATTTAACTGGAAGTAAGTCTATTCGATGTTGTACATGTAATACACACATGGAATCAATGGACATCGGTGCGGTTGCACGATCATGTCGTCCATTGTTAACAGCGAGTTTTCGTTATCTATTAACCCTATTCAGACTGGGGGGGGGGGCTTTTCGAACCCCCACTTCGGCAAAATCGTGATAACTCCTACATCGAAACAGCTATGACGTTTAAATTTTCTGACTTTTCCTAAAATTTATCTAGGAACATTTTGGTATAATTATCATGTCCATGTGATTAATCATGTTGCCATGGCAACCAGTTTCTGACACATAGGTTTTGGAAAATTTAAAAAATGGTGATTGTTTTGTTTTAAGATCGCGTTTTTACACTTATAGTGCTTTTTGTTGTTAAAATGGTCTTTGCTTGGGACTAGTTTTTGAATCACATCAAAATGTTTCAATATCGAATATTTGGGGGGGAGGGGTGACAAATATGCTGCTCTATTTTCCAAATAACACTTCCAAAGTCATTTGTTTGGGTAATAAACATTAGTTTGATACTTCTTTTATACATTCTGAGCTTTTTCCCCTTTGAAAGTTGCTTTAAATTGTAATTTTAACAAAAAAACGGAAATCCAAGATGGCGGATCCAAGATGGCGGACAACCATTTCAAATTTTGAATTTTATTGCTTCCTATTGCTTTTTCTCGCTGTACAAGTGTTTCCTTGTTACTAGTTCATAAGAAAGGATAACAAAGAGATTACTTTACCAATATTATTGATATTTTACGTACTAAGTGGAAAAATAATAAGAAACATTGAAAAATCGGAATATGACGTCACTGTGACGTCATCATTGGGCGTGGCAAGTCAAAACTGGGTGTGGGGCTTCTTTGTACGGAGATGATCATTGTGTGTAAATTTCATGACCCTAGCATTATTGGTTCCAGAGATACAAGGGGGGGTCCGAGGAGCCCCCCCCCCCCCAGTCACAGATTGACCAAAAAAGCCCAGTCTGAATAGGGTTAAAATCGTGTTTAAGTTCAGCCATCACGAGTGCTCACCTAAAACAAACTTCACAACAATCAACATTGAAAAAACGTCTGCCGACGTTACCTACAGTCGAGATGAGTTTTCAGTCTCTCCCGTCAGTATCGAGCTTCCAAACAAGCTTTCGACTATTCGAATTCTCCATACAAACTCTTATGTTCAAACTCTTTTGTTCAGGACCTTGACCTGTCGATAAATTATGGAAAGAAGAAAAAGGAAGAACTGTTTCGACGAATACGCTGCCGTGTAAGTTTTACGACGTGACTTGTTCAGTTTGGAAGCGGAACTTGAGTACTCAATTCCGAATTCCCAGAATTCCGCAAAGCTATTTCTTGGTAGATAATGCCATACTTTAAAATGTGATAGTCCGAACGCATTTCTCTTTCTGTTTTACTTTGTACTTTTAACCAAAGCCGTTTTCATTTCTGTATTGTAATCGATAGCGCAATTCAGCTCGTTGAGCTGCAAAACGTTTTTGAATGAATAAACCTCAGTGAAACCTTTACTTTTTATACGGTATGTATAAATTCAAATATGAATCAGCGTCAAATAGAAAATTAAAATCGCACTAACAAAAATAGCATCGTAAACGGCTGTATATATATCTTAAATTTTAGTAGAAGATCTTCCGAATTAATGTCCCTTTGCTTATCCTTTACAAACATTCTTTTGTTATTCAAATGTGCCAACCATTAAAACAAATTAGAACTCTTAATTTGTGTCAACACCCAATAGGCCTCTGGTTAGTCTGCTACACAGCCGTTTTTAGTGTCGTCACGCAACACTCCTCCCCACTTAGTGGAAAATCCTTCAACAAGAACGACCGAGACCAGGTTTTATGAGCCCGCGAGACTGAGCACCCCACAAAACCCTTGTTTTCACTAACACCGCTGGGCGCAACAACCTGGTATCTAAGGTTGGGCAGGAGCGTTGCGTGACGAGGCTAAAAACGGCTGTGTTCAATAGGTGACGTCACGCGAAACAGGAACAGATGGTTTGGTTGTGCGTCACCGAGTTGCTACATCACGTACGCTGCTGTTTTTCCATACTCAGCCGAAATACAACATCCTTTCTTTGGAAATTAACGTTATAACGACAAGTCAAGCCTGTCCGTAACTTCTGAGAACCGAATCTGAGAAAGAACAGTTTTTGGCATCATGCAGCCCAAACAAGATGATTCAAGTGATGTAACTTTGGTGTTGAAAGACGGCAAAGAGATCAGGGCGACTAGAAGCCAACTTTCGGAAAGTGATTTCTTTTCTACGCTTCTTAACAGCGACATGAAGGAGAACAGAGAAGGAATCATTCGGTTGGAGCACATCACTGAGACTGTTATGAAGGATGTCTTAAAATTTATGCGCTGTGGCTGTGTAATTATTACTCAGCAGAATGCTGTAAACCTACTCGAGGCAGCGGATTATTTACTTCTTCCAAGCTTAAAGAAATGCGTTGAGAGATTCTTAGAGCGGGAATTAACAACCTCGAACTGTGTTTCAACTTATTATTACGCCGAGAAATACCAATGTAAAGACCTCATGGTCATCTCAAGGAATTTTTTCTTTCCAAACTTTGCCGCTGTGGCTCAATCTCAAGAATTTCTAAATTTGGAAAGCGAACAAGTGGAGCGGTGGATTTGCTCTGATAGGATAGGTGATAGCACGTCAGAGGATGATGTTTTCAAGGTTATACTTCAGTGGATTGAGCAAAGTAAGAGTGAGAGGAAAGGGAATTTCCAAGAGTTATTTCGTCACGTGCGATTGCCCTTTATGTCGCGTGACTATTTGCGCAGACATGTCGTGACCAATGATCTGGTGAAAGAGAATCCAAGCTGTTTGAAGCGGGTGAAGGGGGCTTTGAGAGATGGGCGTTATCCAAAGGGCTATCATCGACGATCACCTAGAAAATGGAGTGACTATGAGGACGAGCTTCATCCTCTCCTTCTATTAATTGCCAGATGCAGCTGCACCATTATATGAAAATGAATCATACACCATGTCGTCATTTGAAGGAAAACATTACGTTTTTCCGAAGTCACCAAGCTCAAGTGGTAGTACCCGAGTCGAATAAATACCACTTGCTATTTTAAACCTATTTTCTTAAAAAAAAAAAAGAAGAAGAAGAAGAAGAAGAAGAAGAAGTCTTAAATGACCACTCGGCAATTTCGACCATTAATAACACCTGCTTTTTTACACACTGATTCCTCTTGGAACTGGTTAGCTCAGATCATGACGACCACCACAAACCGCATAATATCAAATTCAAGCTTTAATATATAGTTATTCAATCCAAGGGAGTTACATTTAAAGGCGGTGATTAGAACAAGCATAATAATTGATTTCGTAGGCTAAATAGAGGAAAGTATCCTGGAAACTTAATCAATGGTCGCAATGCGATCGAAAGTTACTTCCGTGGCAAGTCGTTTATAACATGCAGCAGTCGTACTTCACTTCACAGGTTAGCTTCCCTTACAAATTCTCAGTCCTGGTTGGCATATTTAACAGTGAAGATTTTCAATCACTTAGAGTAATCAAGTCTGAGTATCTGTCAATGAAACACACACTAGGCCAAGGTGGAATTAAAGTGTGCTAGGAAACCAGCAGTCGCGATTTTAAGTTGTCCATGCATTTTTCAAACCCTTTCAAAGTCCGCGGAATAAACTTTTTACCTAAGCTGTTTACGGTAAAGCGCGTGCGTTTTACGCCATACAATTTGCGGCAAAATGGTGGAGGGAGTGCTGAAGAATTCGAAGAAGAAGAAACCGCGAAAGGCTCTGTCGTTGTCTAAGCTACGTCACTGTTCGTGTAAGCGTATGAATACTAGCCTCTGCAGTTTCATATGTCTTGCTCTATCGATTCCGGTCTCGAAAAGACAACGGTCTTTATCCGTTCCTGGATTCTCTGAGGACTGTGCCTTTCCTTTATCTGTTCCGGCCCTTCCAAACCTTGCGCGTGTAAACGGTCAAATTTTGTTTGAAAGGGTGCGTGTTACTTTCCGAGCCATTTCGCGGCTTTTCAGTCAAGCTATAGGGGTCATTATCTTAAAATAAGATGGATTTACGATGGTGCTTATGTAATGTAAGATGCTGAGCCATCTTAGTCAAGAGTTTAGTTTTTACGGAGCTGTAGTGGAAGTTTACAAGGTGACTTGATCGATTTGAATCGCAATGTACCGGGAGTTTGATCATCTAACACCTCAAAAAAGCAGACTGATTCGTGGCAGATGGTATTACCTCTGGTATTGAGATTAACCTTCCGCTTTCTAATCGAAGCGAACAAGTCTCTTCTTCCAAGTGACGAGCCAGTTATATTCCTGTTTCTGCAGTTAAAGTTTGTGACTTCTGTACGGTATACACAATTTCAATGAAACAACAAAATAATTAGAAAACTTGGAAGGAGTCTCGCAAACGATGCAAGTTTGAAAAGGCGCTGTATGGACTCTGCCGTTTTTCTGAGCCGGCCAAAAAAAAATAGGCATTGGATCTTGTCAGAAACGCCAACGAAAATGCCACCCGGAAAAGTAAACTTCAGTGAATCTGTAACACCCGTACTCAAGTTTAAATAGAGAAAGGAAAGTACACAGTCATGTCTACCTTCCTTCTCCATAAAACTTTGAATTTATTTCACATTGTTGTTTCGCAGAGGTACCAAAATGTAAAATGCACGTGCTGCAAGTCTTTTTCTTACAAATTAGAAATCTATCGTTCAACATTAAATGTTATTGCCCTCGCGCTGCACTCACTGAACTAATTACGTATGGACGTGGAAATTTTTGAATCCGGAAAGTAAAAGTTGCGGATTCAAAAATATCCGGATACGTGTGGACGGGGCCTAAATATACTCCTTTTCTCCAGGCCATAGTGGTAGCTGGAGCTCCGTGATGGTAATACAGTGAAAGGCTACAAGTTTAGTACATAATTGTATCGTCTTTATTTAACAAATCAACAGCTGTTAATATCTCTAAGACTATAATACAGCCATCTCAAAATTCTATACATCAAGCGCTTGTGATAATGCCTGGGTCGAGTTTGAGCATATTAGTACTACGCGGTTGAAACTGCTATTAAATGCAGTGAATGATTTTAAATGTAACTTATCCTAATTCAAATTTACTGAAGCCCACGAAAAAAGGTTCTTGCAAACTTTATCGGCAGATAACTGCGCTGGTTCACCCAATGAACTCGCGATTAGTTTAGACACACAGACAATTTATCCTCGAAGCGTTTATAAGAAGAAGCCTTGTAGGGATGAAAGGGGAAAGGGATTGAAAAAAACCCATTGATTTCTATGGCTGATAGGGTCTATTATTCAGAACGTGAGTCGTGTCGAGATATACGAGGATCCACGAGAGGGCGCAACCTGGCCTGCAGGCTACTGAGTCAATATGCTTGCCAGTAAAGTGCCACTGACTGCTTCCAGTTCGGCTACTGACATGAAAGAGAGGATGAGGAAGGAGTTTCCTCGTCCACTTTACGTTAAGACATTGATCAAACTGTGGCAGTTACCATCTTCGGGAATACATGAGAGCTATGAGATATGACGTTTCTCTTCGAGTGTTTGACTCGCAGTTCCACTTGCGAACAAAACTAACAAGTGAAAGATCGAGTCGAACTCAAGGTTTCGAACCTTTGATTATTTTCAGACAACTTCCAAAGATTGCCGAAGACTTTCGAAATTTCCCGAGGAAATGTTCAAGGTGATTCGATAATGCACTCATTTGATTAAATTTCTCCTGAACAAGAACAAGTGAGCCTGCTTACAGGCTATGCTATTGGGACAGAACGTTTCTTACCGGAAGTTGTGAAATTATATCTACTAAAACACTGAATAGGGTGTGTGTCTCTGAGTTTAAGTAAGAATTTAAGTACTCTTTCTCCATCTGTTGAAAGCAGACATTACGAAGATTTTTTTCTTCAGTAAACTGGCTACATCGTCACCGCAATCCACCCATTAATTTATAAATCACTTGATGAGCTTCTTTTCATCTGCAGGGCTTTCTTAACATTCTGCAAATGCTCATTGATTCTCCTGGCTTGCCTTGTATCGCATAGGTTTTCTTTCGTTGAATCTCCGCTGGATGGTTGTTTCGCAGGAGAGGGCGATATACTCAGGGACCCATCAGTTGTAGGGTACCCCTTCACTGGTGTTCTGAAATAAAGAAACCAAAACTTATTACCACTTTTATCGATCAAGCAAGGTACTATGCACGCGCTTATTTCATATTTTTAACTAAATAATCACAATACACACTCGTTCCAAGACTTCAGTGGTTTCGGACGTGACGTTAACCGTCACGCTTGTCGGGACGCTGATAGCGAGATTGGCCTGGGGACGAGGTTGCTCACTGCAAAAAGATGTTCGGCAAATGGTGGACGGTGAAACAAAGTCAGTTTAAGGAAGATTTTTGGGAAAAGTTGACATCCCTTCTACTCCTACAACGTTCGCAGTGGTCGTCTAAAACAATCCTTCGTGAAACTTTACTGTTAACACAGGCGGGTACCGATAATGCTCAGTTTTTTAATAGGAGTAACGTTAAGGAGTCAAAGTTAAAGACGAGCACACCTCGAGATTTTCTCAATAGTAAGCTAGTACAGCGCGCACGTGAACAAGCGTCATTTTGGCGGCAAAAAGTGGTAACCGTCGCCAGTCTGCTACGAGTTTTAGCAAAAATGCCGTACTGGCGGAGACAAGCTATCATGACAAGAACGGTTAGAAGGTTTATCAAATAAAATTAAAATAAATTGCTTTTTTACCCACGAAGCACTTAAGAGTTCATATGAACTCGTTTAAACGTGTCCGTGCGTTCCAGATCTAATTGGAATTTGGAGGTGTTGGTTTTTGAGGAGAGGGAAAACCGGAGTACCCGGAGAAAAACCTCTCGGAGCAATGGAGAGAACCAACGACAAACTCAACCCACATATGGCGTCGACGCCGGGATTCGAACCCGGGCCACATTGGTGGGAGGCGAGCACTCTCACCACTGCGCCATCCCTTGCTCCCCGATCGGCAGAGATTTGCGATCGGCAGAGGGCTTAACTACCTTCGATAAAAATAACCGTACTAACTTCTCTGATAAAATAATACGATGAAGTTTTTGCTATTTTGTGAGAATACACGAAAACTTTTAAGCTACATCTCGTCCTCGTAGTTTTCCTCGTCGTCGAGTCTAAAGGTCTCTATTGACAAAACGCTCACTTCTCAAGACAACTTTAATAAAATTCCGTTTTACGCTCGAAATTTCTATGTTAGTAGGTACCAAACTGTTTTCCTTTACATTCCAAAAATGTTGTCTTCAAGAGCGTATAACGAAACAAACACTGTCCGTCTTCTTTATTGGAAATCTAAATAAACATTAATATATATTTCTACATCACTTACTCGTTGAATTCACTGATTAACTGAGACTTATTAGTCTTTAATGACAGAGCTTTGTATAAGTCGTCAGTGGTCGGGATTTCCACGGGTCCATCCCGCGGGATTTGTGGAGAAACCCTTGACTCGGACAAAAGAAGGTTTCTTGGAGCGGGTGAAAATGATGCAGAGCTGAATTGAAGATTAGGAACATCGGGCGCTACAAAGAAAACAAAAAGTAGTATTAGTCTGGGAGTGGTCTGTTGTACAAGACCGTATAGCGCACTTGAGGGCTAAAATATTAATAAGCGCAGTTCCCTCCAGCAACAAAGCAGCGCTTGTTGAATTCCGTTGTTAACGCTGATTTATATGGTTTCTAGGTCCAGAGTCAATTTTTGAGATTGCTGTCTTTGTCCCGACCTGGCACTCGTGTTTCCCCGTTTCTCACACACTTTTCACGATCCACCCTCGCATATAACTGCGCAATTTATGGACAATTCTAAAACAAAAAAGCAAAAAAACAGGTGAACAGCTTACATTTTGATTTTCTTGATCCCGTAGAATGTTTTCTTGGTGTCAAGAGTTGCTGCTTGTAAAAAGATGCCCGTTCCTCTTCGAATTTCTTACGCTTCAGGAAAAAATATAAATAAAAGCATAATTAAATAAAGATATACAGGAAAAAATGACTTGATGACACAAAGCTCACTTTACCAACATGGTACCTTTCAACTGCTGATGTATTAAGAACATAAAAGCCTAAATTGTGGATGACCTCACACAAATTAATGTAAAAGTTAAAGGAAGTTGGCAACACAATTTGAGAGTGGACGACTATTAGAATTATTAGAAAACTGGAGAAAATATATAATTGAAATGAACATACGAGATAGATGAATATTGCTTGATTTAATTAGCAATTAATGAATGAGGCTGAGTAGGATAAGAAGAATTATGCAGATCGAGGAGGGCGTTATCGGCCGAGGTGGATAATACCCTCCTCGATCTGCATAATTCTTTCTATCTTACGAAAGCCGAATTCATTAATTGATTTATTATTCATTCAAAATAATCCCTAGTTTAAAAACAAGCTAAAACATGCTTACCTTCGTCGATGTTAAGTTCATCTCGATAGTGCATGTTTAGAAGATAAAGGGCTATTCAGGTCTGCAAATATACTCCAAATAGCAGATGTTGTCCGTCGTGAAACGAGTAAAATGCTCCGCCGACTGGTCGGCCAATTTTTCTTTTCACAACCAAAACAACTCAACCTCGTCCCCAGGTTTTCTGGGTTAACGGTGCAGACCTGAATAGCCCTTTATCTTCTAACCTGGATCTGTGCTGCACTTTTGACGTCATCGGTTGATTAATCGCGAAATTCTCCCAAATTTGGTCAACAGTATCTGGTTATGATGAATTATGCGTGTGCTTTTAGCCAATCAGAAACGGAGAAATATTTCGAATGAATAAGGAGACGGTTTAATGGTCCCTATTCATCCGTGCGTTAACCGAGCCAAGATGTTGTTTTCTTACATTGTCGTTCCATATGAAGGGTGAAATCGTACAGAATTTTGGACCCAAAATTCAAGACTTTATCTAGACTTTATTCCGAAACAAAAATTTCTTTTTTCAGACTCAAGGTTATCAAACAGGTGATTGTATGCTATAAACATACGGGCAAGATTAAATAAGATTTGACCAAAACGAAAAAAAATTCAGTACTTGTTGTAGCTTTGAAAAAAAAAAACTCAAGACTTTTTGTCATTTTTTCCAGACTTTTTCCAGGTCTGGAAAGTTGCTGGGCAAATTTCAAGACTTTTTCAAGAATTCAAGACTCTGTGCGAACCCTGAATCTAGGAAGAGAGAAAATTGACCATGGAAAACGCGGGAGCTCCTTACCCCTCCTCACAACGATATTTCCTCACAAACCCTTGTCCCAGTGCCACTTTGTATATTCCCAGGCTATTCCCAGGTTTCTCGACCATCTGAGAACAGGATGACTACCTCTCGAAATCGGCAATCTACGGCGCGAAAACCGCACGGAAATATAAGTCACAGTGAGTGAGTACGTAGTATTTTCTATTACAAATAAATTAATATTTGGTATTTGTTATCCACTCCTACCTCGTGTCCAAGTTTGATGGCGGCATCAGTCAGCTGTTTTCGCTCGTTCTCCAGCGTGGCCCGCTGCTCATCAAAAAACTGTTTGTCATTCGTTAACTTCTCCTGCTCTTCCCACAGCTGAGAATCCGTCTTTGAAATAAGAAAACATTTACATATAAGACTTGACAGTCTTGACAAGTGCACATGCCCGAGAAATATGCTCGGGACATATAGCGCCGGTTTGAAATCACTAACCTCGTATAAAAACAATACTGACATTTGGGCACGTAGCGAAGTTTTAGGATTCCGAATAGTGCACAGGCACACCAACTTTGAGTGAAATAGGATTACTGCCATTAAGAATGAGATTGGGTGTTACCTTACCAAGGGCTATTCCTCGAACATAAAAAAGACACTCGGCGAGAGCAAATGTCTAGGCTTACTATATTTACCGTACTTAAATAGCAGGTAACCTTCTGTTGTTGTTGTTTTTTTTAGTATTTTCCTCCAATGTCGCTTAAGATTAACATGGTCAAGTGAATGACTTTCATCTGACCATATTAATTATTCAAAAGTGCTATGATTTTCTTTGGAGAGTGCTAAAAGGTAGTCTGCTACACAGCCGTTTTTAGAGTCGTCACGCAACGCTCCTCCTCCACTGGGGAGGAGCGTTGCGTGACGACACTAAAAACGGCTGTGTAGCAGACTAGCTAAAAGGTGGATAGAAGTCCAATTCCTCACTCCAGAAACAAGATTTTGACGCAGCTTTTTCTGGGATCGCTGAGGTGGACATGCGTTAGTTATGATTGGTGAAGGGTATTTAATGCAATCATTGACCAGTCATAAGTGCGTGTAACGCTTTTCCATCTAACCGATCCCAAAAATTCTTGCGCCGGAAGCTTGTACCCATTCTCGCACCTCTAGTTTCTGGAGTGGGAATACTGTTCTTGTTCCAAAATTGGTTTCGTTGAAAAATTTGCAAAATGACATTTTGGTAAAATTTTCAATAACAAAACAAAATGATCTCGATACATCACGCAGTCTTACCAGAAACGAAGAGCCTTCAGTTGTCAGACTGTTTGCTTTAGCTTGCAGAGACTAAGGAATGAACAAATATTCAGATTAGTATGTCACGTTTGTATCCATAAACCAGGATTAATTCTGGGAAATGGCAATGCAATGAGGACCCCATAGCTTCTCTACTGAAATTGTACAGGGCTTTTTCTAGAAAGAGAGCCTAAGATTTTTAAACATTTGAAAAAAGTTATTTACTTATTGGAGCGTTTGACCAACTGGCACTTCTATTTACTTTAAAATCATTGTCTCATGCATGAATTTAGAGAACACTGATTGTTCTTGATTCTTGTTTTTTCTTTTTTGATCCCTTCTTTTTGCTCTATGCCTCAAAGGCCTCACTGAAATATAACTGTTAGCCTGCGAGCAAGCTCTCCTATTTAGGCAAGCGAAGTGAGCCTCGCGAGAACGCGCGAGCGAGGTCCCCTCGCGGCTTCGCCGCTCGCTCGCGCGTTCTCGCGAGACTCGCTTCACACGCCCAAATAGGAGAGCTTGCTCGCAGGCTATAGAACTGTTTATAATGGCCATTTTACTATCAACTCAGTTGTTAAAGGGGCTGTGTCACGGCAGTCCAGATCATTTTGTTTAATCTTGCCAATTACTCGCCCTCAATTGCTATGGAACTTACAAAGACAGCAAAGAAATTACATGTAAATGGCAAAGTCAGAGATTCGAGACAAACAAATATGTCTCCCGAGCATTATTTTTAAAGTTGCAAACAGCAGAGATAAACTTTGAAAAACTGTTAGGCTGAACAGTTTTCAAAAACCCTAATTTCAATTCGTTTCAATCTTCTTCAGTTTTGCCCATCCGTGGCATCTGTTGTATCTGTTGTGTTATTTTGACCTTCCTTTAATGTTTTAAGCGGTTATTTTAATGTTTCTCTTCGATTTACCGGGCATTTTGTAATACCTAATTTGGCTGAATTTCATTAAAGGAGCTGTGTCTTGAAATTTAATATCAAAATTCAAACAGAGGGAACTGCCAACAAATTGGGTGAAATATTAAAATAAATGCTAACACAGCAAAAACAGAGGGAAGCACGGATGGACAACCTCGAAGGAGGTTAAAACAGATTGCATTTGTTTTCTGAAAACTTGTTAGGCTAACAATTTGACAAAGATTTTCTTGTTGTTGTTTGTAATGACTGATAAAATGCTTGTGAGACATATTTTGTTTGACACAAAGCTGTGATTTTGTCGTTCTTAAGTAGTTTCTCGAGTAAGGACGCGTAACTGGCAACAATAACCAGTCTATCACAACTTGCACAAGGTAACAGCAGTTCCTTCAACAGTGTATCCCCTATAATCAAAATACAGAAAAACATTTTTCAAAAAGGTTTACCTCTATTAAACTTTCCTGCTGTTCTACAACATGTCTGTAGTTCTCCAGTTGTCTTTTTAACCTTTGAACCTCTTCTTCCCAGTCAACTTTTTTCGTTTCGACCTCTTTAGTGGAACCTGTTTGTGCAAACAGTGAAGCTATGTTTGTGAGCCTGAGAGCATCTTCTTTTGGAAAGACAGGTTTGGCATCAGTGCAATTTGATGCACCTTTATTCGTAGAAAGAAGTTTCAAATTTAAGAGAGAAATTATCAAGGCCCTGACAGACGATGTCATAGTTCGGTATTCCATGACAATTTTCAATCCTGACATTTCAAGTCGAAATTTAACCGCCAGCGTAAAAACGTGTCTCGTCGTACGTTTTACGAGCGCTCTGTTTTAGTTTCTTTTTAGAAACAGGGAAGGCTAGGAAGACAAAGATAACACGGGACGGGAGGGGTGGGGTGGGTTTACTTGAAAAAAATCTAAATGGGGGTATTGAGTTCGAGTCCTAGAGCCTCTACTACCCAACCACAGACCGAACACCTCCATTTTTTACCCCACCCCACCTCAAAGTAAGGGGGAAATGTTTCATTCCATCTCAGTCCGGGAACGAAGGGGAGCTTTTAGTAATTAATTTGCTCCATAATGCTATAAAATCTTTTACATTTTCGCATATTTGCAAAACATCTACTTTAGATGAGCAGGAAAAAACAACAATTTGATGATAAATAAACCGAAGAAAGGCCTCGTTCAGACGCCGTACTTTTCACGTGCCGAACCTAACTGAATAAGTTCGATTTTGGAGCAACATCTGATTCAGACGGCGCAACCGGGTGTCGAGCCTAAGTTAAGTTCGACAAAATTTCGACAGACTCTGTCGAACTTAACGCTTTTGCCTCACCAAACTAAAACTGTTAATAAAAAATCGAGTATTCCAGTCTGGGCTGGAAGGCCTCTTGACGCAGACACAGCAAGCAATGTTTTACAAAAGTGAGTGTTGGCCAAATTTAAGAAGGCTTTTTTGTTAACCAACATTTAAATTCTCTTTTGATACTCGCCCCAATATTTTGAACCTTGCTGAAACACAAACAATCCAGAAAAGAGGAGAAGCAGATACTATAAAACCTAATAGATACATGTGGCTAGACTTGCCACAAGCCGACTGCGTGAGCGGAAACGGGCTTTGAAAAAGTCTAACATGTGGCTTACCGTTGCTAGACCCTTTGTTCTTTTCTTCTAACCTAGACTTCAGCAATCTCCACTTTTCTCTCAAACTACTCTCAATTCCTAACAAAAGAAATGTATACATTTAAATTATAATTATAATTGAAAAAAAAAGAAGAAGAAACATTAAGTAGAGTGACAAGAGGGCTCACACAGGAAAACCAAGTTTCAGTATTGTCACATTTGTCCAACAGTTCTTCCGCAACGTTCAATTGATTCGCATGCAACGCACTATAAAAAGAAAATGCGAGACTCAATTTGGGTTAAGAGAAAACAGAAAAAGTACATCGCAGAATTTGTGAATCTTGATGGAAAACATTTTAGACCTTTTGTCTAGTGTTTTGTTTAATTTGCGAAAATCATTGACTGCAGTTCAACTACTTTTCTTTCACAGCTGAAAGTGTAATTTTCTTAAGGCTCACGGGCGAACAATTCTCCCAGTTAAGGTTGATTTCCACTGACGTGTGTTTGGCTGCGCACGTTAACGAAAGTAAATTTCAATCGCGTAAATAAAATAGAGGCAAGATAAAAAGTGCTAAGCTTAAACGAGAAGTTGAGCGAGGTTCAACTTTAACGCCTTCGAGCGACCTTTCAAGCATTAGAGAGATTAAGAGTCACGTTTACGGCTAACGGCAAACGTCAGATTCAAGTAAAGTTAAGATTTCTCAGAATGTCCAAAACAATTCTCATGGATAAAACTGACGTGGAACGACTTATTTTTGAGTAGAAGTAATAAACAGTAAGCAACAATTAAGGGGGAAAGTTGGTCACGTGGTACAAAGTCACGTTTGCCGTTTGACGTAAACGTGAATCTTAGGCTGCGTGCAAACGGGCGCAACAACTCTCAACAATGTTGGGAGTTGTAGGCCAACAATGTTGCGTCCGTTTGCACGGGGCTACACGTTTGACCGGTTTCAAACTTTGCGCAACAACACGCAACAACATTCAACAGCATGCAACAGGGTGTGCAAACGGACGCAACATGTAACATCCAACAATGTTGCGTCCGTTTGCACGCAGCCTTAATCTCTCTATTGCCTCTATTTTATTTGCGAACGTAAATTTACGCACGTACGCACGTGAAAATTACGCCACACTGGAAATCAACCCTTAAGCGCATTTTTTAATCAGCAAAAGCACCTAGGAACGTCGCTATTATTCCTGGATAGACTGCAATTCCGCTATCATCTCATAGTTATCCGTACCTTCTCTAACTATATCATATGGCATATGAAAATGTCCCGTGGAAAGTTCATCTAAGGAGCCTGATTCACTCAGCTCACCTCCCTGCAAAAAGTAAACAAGGGGAACTTTAATTTTTAATCTACGGAAAGCTATCAGTGCATTGAAAACTCTTGACTTGTAGACACCTCGCTATTGCGGACACCCCGCTTATACTAGTCTCCCTACAACGGGATCGTTCGCGCCAGGAAAGTTTTGGCAGAAGGGTTGCGAAGCCGAGCGGAGAATGGGGAGGAGAAACTTTCAAATCTTTCTCGCGCCTTCGGCGCTCGCTTCTCCGCTGCGCCGTCAAAACTCTGACACGCGCAAAAAAAACTCCGCCATCTACACGGGCTATATATCCCCTTGCGCTAGCGGTCAACCAAAAGCCCTTCGGTTTTTGGACCATTGGGAATTAGCGCTCTATAAATATTGTATATTATTATTATTATTATTATTATTATTATTATTACTTATTTATTTTTTCGTACGCGTACTCGACGATCTTTAAGGAGAAAGTATAAGGTAAGATAAGATAAGATAAAGAAAGTATAAGGTCTGTGAACACTGGTACAGAACTACGAACAGGGACATCTTTTTCGGCGTTTTGAGATAATGAAGAACGGGCAATGGAACTGGAATTGGGGTCAGAGACGTGCACGTTGCGTAGTTTTTACAAAGACGTACGTGCAAAAACTAAAGACGTTCATATGATTGAACACTACCACGGTTAAACGGTCAACGACCGTCAAGCTGTAAATTTCTCCTAATTCATGAGTTCAAAACCGCACAAAAGTTGGCGTCCCCTTGGCAAATAGCCTAAGAACCAATAAACTGTAATCAGGTGTTCTTTTTTTTTCAGGAGAGAAAAAGTCAGCGAACGCCTTTCAAAGAACAAGGGAAGAATAACGCATGGTCGCAGATTAAAGGATGCAGACACATGTATTTCTGGAGAAAAGTGGCAGCCGGAAAATGAGTCTGCTGTGTGAATTTATTTTGAAGTTTCTTTTCTAATACGTGTACTTGTCTTGTCGTATGATGGAAAATCTCGTTAAATTCAGTAACGAGGGTTTTATGTTGGTGGCCAGCGTCGCGAGGGGGGATCGTCATATCCTTATATTGTGTAGTTCCAGATAATATCCATACCAAAAGGACGCAATTTTCGAGGGGGTGGGATTTTTTTCTCTCTTTATCGTTTGCGATAAACGATTAACGTTCCCATAACAGTATAGCGCAACAGCATTTTTGAAGTAACTATTCTTTCTAGGGGGTGCCTATAAACCAAGTTGGAAATTTACGGAAATTTACCCTCCCTCCCTGGGGGTCGAAAGAAAAAGTGCCCCTCCGTGGGGGGTATGGATATTCTTTGGAACTATACGTTGATTAAAAAATAAGAATTGCAACAGAAAACAAAATTGTGCCACACATTACTGACCTCTGTATTATTTTCATTTTCATAATCATCATTGTGATGATTTAATAAATTAACCAGTTCAGTCTGCATGCTTTTCAGTGATTCCCGCAAATCGCTATTTTCAACCATGAGTTCCTGAATCAATGCCAAAATAAAAAATACGTACATGAAAAATTAACGGACAGAATCAATAATAATCACTTACTTACATAGCTTGAGAAAACAGTCGACATTTTGCGACGCTACCACTGGTTTCCCGCCAAATGACGTCTGAGAAACGAGCGCAGAAATTCCACACTGATGACGCGTCACTACCCAGATCTGGGTAGTGACGCGTCATCAGTATGGAATTTCTGCGCTCGTTTCTCAGACGTCATTTTCGCGGGGAAACGGTTTGTAGCGTCGCAAAAAGTCGGCTGTTTTCTCAGTCTATTACTTGCATTAAAATCAAAGTCTCTAAACAATAAATGCCAATTTCACCAGCTCGTTCAGTTAGGACAGAACAAAAACACTTCAAAAACTCATTAATAATTCATAATGAAAAAACAAAAGAAATTAATGTTTAGTGAGAGTCTTTATATCTGATAAAGACACGGCTAAACTTTACGACCAATTTTATAGACCAAAATAACCCCAGATTCAAAGTTTAGTGCAAGAATGAGTTGATATGTATCAGAGATTTTGAAGCCGTTCAAAAAACTCGTAGTCGTATATTATCAGGGTTGTAAACTCTCGGCTTCGCCTCGAGTTTTTAAACCTGACAATACACTCCTGCTCGTTTTTTAAACAATACAAAAAAGGCGCACAAAAACATCATGTTGTACTTATACGTTTTTTCGTGCTCTACTTAATGGCGTCCCAAATATATTCGTACAAAAATGTGGTACTATCGAAGAGAAAGGAATAGTCTTGTGTTATCGAAAAGGTAGCTATGGGCAGTATTACTCTCCTTAAGTCTGTAACTGTAAAAAAAAACGAGTGCCATTTGGTATACTTCTAACATGTCATTGGACGTTTTATTCTCAGGGAGATTAGAAATAATTATTTTGTCTCAGCTAGTACGTTCTAGATAATTACCATACAGTCAACGATCACAAAGGTGCTAACAATACATTTCACTGTACCTTTTGTCTTTCTTCATAACTTGTGATAAGCATTCTGTACATTTCTTCCTCATTTCTGCACATACATGGATACATTATAAATTTTAAAATGTACCAAATAAATTAGTAAGTTTCAGTTAATTCTTTTCACCATGGTGAATCAACACAGTGATATGGGGTGAAACAGGACTGTGTCACAATAGTATTACTGACATCAACTCCATAACTACAGTACCGCAAAAAGTAAGTTACCAACCGCTCGCGAGACGCGAATTGCTTTACACTTTACGCGATTCTCGTTTCACGCTATGATTAATGAATGCGATTCTATACGGTAGCGGGCGACGCCCTAAAAGTGTTAGTATCGTGGCAAAAATTACTGGGTGATTTCAAGAATCCATCGTAAAGCTTTATCAAGTTCCAGGTTCAAGTTTAAGCTTATTTCAGTATTTCAGAAGAGAATTTTCGACGGCCATAGCCGTCTTTATACCCTAGTCCCAGAGTTTTTTCATGAAATTTTTCTTCGGGAAAGAAAGAACGAGCCGCGTAGCGGAGACAAAGAGCTTCTCTCTCTCTTTGCCGCTTCGCGGCTCGCTCTCTCTTTCCCGAAGAAAAATTTCAAGAAAAACCTCTGGGACCAGGGTACCGTCTTTGCTGTGACTTGAACAAATTTAACCACTGCGACCTCTATAGACTGTTCTTTTTACAATTAGAATATGTTTTGTAAGAATATTGAGCGTAAACGTTTCAAGCTGAAAAGAATCATTTCTTCACACACCACTGGGGTCTAACTCACCTTCTCTTTCATTCTGAACAGCAGTTTGGGTAGCCTCCGAAAAAAGCCATTTCTTCTTGCTCCTCGCCACCAGGGACATTTTGCCATTCTGGCGAAATATCCCTAGCAGCGAAGAGCAAGGAGAGATGGCCGTGTTGTCAGCCTACAGTTTGGTTTCTTTTACATCCAACAAAAATCACACTAGTGTACATTTCATGACTATAATACGAGCCTGGCCACAAACGGATTAAACAGAGGTAATTTATATAAACAATGTTTTGAAGGCCACTTACTTTCCAGTTTCTGTCTTCCACATGGCACGCTGTCCACTAGGTCGTTTTATTAAATTCAGGATATCCAATCCAACCCTTTTTTCTTGACTTTTATCTGTTAGAAGTTGGTGAATTCTTTCCTTGAGTTTGGTGAATTCCCGTTCTTTTTTTCTGGTTTCATGGTCATACTGTTTCTGTACATGAAGCGAATTGGCTTTAGTTTTCTTCAACTGTTGGAGAAACAGAAGGAAAGAGTCAATAGAAAACATCTTCAGTAGCCAGGCTCACTGGTGTGCGATCTCTGAGAAAATTTTGGTGGCCAAGGTAACAAAGCCAACGAGAAGAATAGGGTGAGGAAAAGTGAACCTTCACACAATCTATTGATTTTCCTCGATTTATTGTTCTGTGGATAGGGGCTCTGCCGCCACAATTTTCCCATAAATCATGAGTTAGCCTTCTCACAGTCTCCATTTTCCTATTTAAATAGGACCTGGGAGGACAAGGTTCAAGTAAGAGTCAGAGTGTTTTCTGTTTTCATATTTCAAATGATAATAATAATAATACCGTAATAATAATAATAATAATAATAGGTTTAACACTTTTTTAATTTCTTCATTCTGCAATTCACCATCATTAATTGATTAATATCAATAGTGATAATAATAATAATTTTAATAATTCATAAAGTTTTGCCAGTTGTTGTCAGAGTAAAGGGAGATTCTAATAAGATTCTGTAATCTACCTTCTACATGTAGATAGCCGCCAGTGCCAGCTTAGCCTGTTCCAGGCTCTCAGATAGTAGGAAAGATGTACAAGTGAAGTAGGGATGACGCGTAAGTTTAAGGCACGTGATCTGGGCAAAGGGGGCAGTGGCCGCCCTTCCTCTCCCCAGTTTTCTTCCATTTTATTTTTGTGTTCGCACTTTCTCAATTTCACGAACCTGACTATATTGGAGCCTGGAACAGGCTAGTGCCAGCTTGATATACATTTGTACTGTTACAACAAATGCAAAACAACAATTGCCACAACAAGAAACATTGCACTGCCTGTACCCCTACGACTTGAACTAAAGTCCATCTTTGTCTGCTCTCAAGAGCTTTCACAACGCCCTGAGCAGGGTTTATTTCATGCTAAATGAACGGACCTCTTGAGCCAGGGTATACATGTATTTCATGATCTTTACTGCACTTGAAACCGTTTCATAAATTGTATGTACATGTATTTACCTCTTCTCTTTCTAATTTTAGTTCCTCTTTTGTTTTTAAAAGTTTTGACTGTAACTGCCTCTCTCGTTCATTTCCCATAGCAATTTCCCTCTGAGCAGATTCCAACTGTTCCTAAATAAAACAAAAGTTATACACAAAGTAATATAATAATTAAAATACATGAACAGGTAGCTTTCCTGGTAACAAATAATTTTGCTGAAAAACTTTAATTTAGTTGGGTTTTGAATTAACAAAACAAAAATGTTTGAAATACCTTTAGTCTCTTCTGGACCTGCATCAGATGCTCATTGTCACATTCTGATCGAAGGTTCCTTAAAAACAACGAAAAAGGAAGTGCCAGACTATGTAAGATTATGTCTTTACAAAGATATTAAACTTGAAACGAACCTTATAGCCTTTCATGTACAAATATTATGTATTAAGTCTTTATGTTACTTAAAATAAATGTGGGGTTTCCCAAAAAATTGTCAAAACTACTAATGTTTTTAGGATGTTTACAGCCATACACATCCTTTCAGGCAATCATAATAGACTGGACACAGTCTCTTTCTTTCTTCCGAGTGACAGTAAACCAAGAACACATGTAATCAAAAATACTTTTTTGCTTCCCACACATGGCCCTAAGAAAAGAGAGACAACAACTCCCAGTTACGTTTATAAGGAAACCACACTGAAGGCATGGTGGCTGAGTGGTTAACACTTCAAACTTAAGATGGAAGTCTAGGTTCAAGCCTTGCCATCACATTGTTTCCTTAGACAGGATAATTTGCTCCACTTAACCTCTCTTCACCTTGGTTTACATGTATAAATGGGTATATCGTGCTGCGCAAAACATACTGCTGGAGGTAACTCTGCAATTGATTGGCATCCCATCTAAGTAGGGGGGAGGGGGGAGGGGGGATAGAATAATACCCAATCGCTTTGTGCTACAGAAACCAGGATAAGTTCAAGGCGTGACAGGCCACATGACTAATACACAGACTTTACTTTACCTTACCGCAAGAAAGTCACTAACAGAGATTTCAAGATGCCAAGAATAGGCAATTAATGGGCAGGAAATGGAACAACTAGAAAGTCCATTTGGTTCTATTTTCCTTTCATTTCTTATGAAAGTAGATGGGTGTCAAGCTTATAGCAGCTGCTGGAATTTCAATAAATTTTGTGACACAGCTGCTTTAATTACAGTGTATTTCAATCAACCCAGCAGTTTTTTACCTAAATTAGAGTTTCATTACCCTGGGTACCAGATGTTTTTCTTGTGTGTGGTGGGAATTTTTGTTGTTGGTCAAAAGGCGACACACCTTCGGCCGTCTAGTAGGCCGAAGCCATGAGCGGCAAACCTGCGAGAAAAAACGGGTCACTATAAAGACTTGACAGAAACCAGAAACCATGCTAGAAAAGTCTCTGGCACTCAGGGTGGAGTATCATGTGTAAGATGGTCACAATGACCCCAGCAACCTCAAGGAAGGCTATTATTCGTTACCAACAGAAGTTACCGGTATATCACAGCAACAGCAGACCTGACCTAGACACATGTCCACACAGAAATAAATTCATTGCCTAGCACTCACTTCTCTTCAAGATCTGTTCTTTGTTTCATATTGCGCTGTTGTTGTTGTAAGAGTTCGTAGGTACTGTTGATGAGTTTGACAATGTCAAAAGTATCAGCGGGTCCAATTCCATTGCGAGAAGGTGCAAATAAAGATGAGAATCCAAGAACACCAAGCTCCTGCGTATACACAATGAGTGATAACAGATTATTTATTTTATTAAAATAATAATCCTACATCACCTTTACTTTAATTAAGCCTAAGAAACATATCCGACAAAAAAAACCTCTTCTAAGTTGGGAATTTGCCATATGCAACAGGCAAATGAAGATGGAAACTTTGCATTGTTCCATCCACGTAAGCAAGTTTTAAAAGTCAGAATTACTTTGAATGAATGATAAAAAAGTTATTGGATCCCACTTTTGTACATTGTATGAACTGAAGAATTATGCAGATCTTGGAGGGTGCTATCTGCCTCAGCTTATCATGCTCAGCCTCATTCACTAATATTGCCAAATATTTTAACAAAAACTCCTTGTAATTTTCTTTGAAAATGGGGGTAAAATAATGTATAAAATTGAACTGTTAGCCTTTCTATGGGATAAGGCATTCTTGGTGTAATATACACCTGTCAGACCAATAAAAATAGGCTGATAATTAAGCACTTAATATTCAGTGGTATTTGCAAAAATCTTAGTTTCCATGGTGACTGATGTGGGTGCAACTTGGGACGTGACATGATGATCAAATCACCAGAAGCTACATGTATCCTGTTAAAATAATCTTTCTCTTACATATCTCAGAGCTCTGTGAGGGTAAAAGTATTCCTAGGTATTTGAAACAAAAGAGTTATAGGTACGTACCAACACATAGCACACTGTATTGTATTCATGTCCATTATAGTTTTGCATTAAACAACAAGTTTCGCTGAAAACTCTGTCTGTTTTATATCTAGAAAATCAGGGTCAGTTGGGAAACAGCCAAACCCTGAATTATGTAAATTTTTTTCACGTTGAGTGTGAAAACATGACACTTTTTTTATTTTTAAAAACTCAAAATCCTAGTCAGGCATAAATGTTATGATTATTTTTTTGATTGCAAATTCATATATTAACAAGTTCATTCATGTGCACTGCTATTCTTCTTAAATTACACCTCCTTAGGCTATATACAGTTGCAAATATCTTGAAACAAATGTTCCGGTTTGTAAGCTATATTGATAGAGTTACTAAATGTTCAGCTTAATAACTCCTCGTTGAGGACCTTAGCTAATATGGTTACATAAAATATTGAGCTAGAGAGTTTATTTCATTCGAAAAATTTTTTGTCAGTTCGCTAAAAACATCTAAAACACTTTCTATTTGAAAATAACAATTAACGTGACAATGAGCATTGTCATTAGTTATTAAAATGTTTGCTGAAGGATTTGAATAGAAATCTGATAAAATCCCAAACAGCCAAAACAAGAATACATGGAAAATCACTCTCTGCATGATCTTTGAAGTTTATCAAAACAATTACGCTTAAGTCAGAAAGATTTTCGGCCGACGAAGGTGTCGGTCGTTATATTGTTCCAACCGATAGTGAATGTCAACTGGATCTAACTGCTTAGTAAGCGAAGCGAGCAAAGTTAAATCAGCAATTTATGAAAATTAGGAAACGTTGTCCGATTACACCGAACGCGAATGTATAATAAAGATAAAGCTGAAATCCAACTTCGAAAACGAAAATATTTGACCTAAATACAACCAAATGACGTTTACGGATTAGCGATCATATCTCAAGAAATGAAAGAAAATCGCGTTTTGCATGCATGAAAAGAGAGCAGTAATTAGCTTCACTATACTAAGCACTGGAATATGCATCGAAGACAGAGTCATCACACCACATTTTGCCTACCTGGTTTAAATAAGCCACGCATTGATCGATATTATCTCTCCGACAAAACTGTTTCTCCGCCGAACTAAACAATGGCGAGATTGGTGAAGGAGTGAGTCTCATAAAGTCTTGCTCTCTATCTGGGCTAGAATGCCGCGAAGATTGCGATGTATAACGGTTGACAAAATCGCCCCAATCTTGGCCTTTCTCGTTCATGGTCTGAAGCTTCATTCATGCGGCATAGGGAAACATTGACCACAAATCCTCCGCGTCAGGCGGATCTTTGAGGTCTGTTTTTCTTCCGCGTAAAAAATAATAACCAGTAACTTTACATCCCAATTATGGACTACTTCCCGTGGCAAAATTAATTAATTATTCAACGATCATTTTTTTGAAACATCCGGCTAAAATCATTTTCATCGATCACACGCATGCTCTGTTGCAAACTAGCCAAGAATATGGCAGGCTCCGATTAATGGCGGCTGGTGTGCCGGAAGAATTCAAAAATAAATCTAGAAGAAACGTTTTGACACTATTCAAGGAGCATCCACCTTGATGGTCTTTCATCCTATTTTGCAACAATGAGGGGCATAGGTCTTCGATAGGAATAGCCGCTAGGCATACATGCCATGTTTTCTAACACAGGGTTCCCAGAATAACAACAGCGCGCCTACTTTATCGTGTGATAAAAGGGTTGAAATGTACAAAAACAGTTATATAGAATACATACCAGTGGCAGATCCGGGGGAGGGGCCCGAAGGTCCGCCCACCCCGTTAGTTTTAGACTAAACTGAGGCCCAAAGGGCCGAAAAAAATTGTTTTTGAGACCCCCCCCCCCCCTTATCTCAAAGTCTGGATGACCGCCCCCCTTATCCCAAGGCCTGGATCCACCACTACATACCTGATAAAGAGTTGTGTCTCACGTTATTTTCTTACTGTTTCCTGCCCTCTATAAGCACCATTTTAGCAAGTTTTCAAGTTTTTGGTTTATTTGATGGGCTCCTGGTTTCTTAGTAGATGAGAAACCAAAACATTTTAGTAGCCTTTCGTAGCCTAGGCGCAAAAAGAGGAGGGGGGAAGGAAGAATAGCGCGATCCCCCCCCCCCCTTTTCTCCTTCCTCCCTATAGCCTACCCCTTGCAACCCCTGCTACGCAGGCTACTTTATCGTCCCCAGAGTCCCTAGGCATCGTAAAGACATGCGGAAGTACGCGTGGCATACCCGTGCCGTTGTACCGTCAAGTTCTGTGCACATGGAAGTCACGCGTGGATTATTCGTGTGACTCTCTACAGTAGAACCAGTAGGTTCGAAACTGCTCAATACATAATGGTAGTTCTTTCGACTTCGGTCGGCTGAAAGAGTGAGTATAGTTGACAATCTTTCAGTTTGAGTCGTTTCGAACAATGTATTGTCAGCAGTTATACTTGTGATGGCTTTTTTCCTTCCTCCCTATCCCCTACCCCTTGCAACGCCTGCTACGCAGGCTACTTTTTCGTTCCCAGAGTCCCTCGGCATCGTAAAGACACGCGGAAGTACGCGTGGCATACCCGTGCCGTTGCGCTGTCAAGTTCTGTGCATGCATGGCATGGATTCGCGTGACTCTCTACAGTAGAACCAGTAGGTTCGAAGCTGCTCAATAATAGTAGTTCTTTCGATTTCGGTCGGCTGCTGAAAGAGTGAGTATAGTTGAAAATCTTTCAGTTTGAGTCGTTACGAACAATGCATACCCGCTTTTTATCAGCAGTTATACTAGTGATGGCTTTAGGGTGGACATCTAAGTCGATCTCAGACGGCCTTATGGTCCGAGTGTCGGAAAATGGAGCAGATGATATATCCTGTCGGGAATCGAATGCAACCTTTCCGTGTAGATCCTTAGGATTCGCTTTGGAAGCTTTAAAGGACTCAAGCAATCGAAATGAAACGATTTTCACTTTTTTGGTTGACGCTGGGAGCGTTTACAGTCTCAACGAGAGAGTCAAAATTAACCAGACAAGTACCTCGGTCATCGTTTATCTGAAATCTAGCAGTAACTCAACTGGTGGTCGATCGATTATTCGTTGCGCGGATGCAAAGGCTGGAATCGAGATAGGATCAAACACGAGCAACACAAGAAACATTAACTTCGTGGACCTTGAATTTCAAAACTGCAGTTTTCGTTCTGTTGCTGCTGTTGTTTTAATATGGAATTCTCGGGATATTAACTTCACGAATTGCGTATTTAGAAATAACACCAAAGCGGGAATCAATGCTTTCGATAGTAGCGTGGCAATTGAAAGATGCCATTTCTTGAACAATACCTCTAATGGGTATAATTCAGGGGAACCTTACATAGAAGGTGTCACTTCCGCCGGTGGTGGAGCAGGATTTTTATACCAAAGGGCTTGGAATCTTTCCTTAATAGTCAAAGACTCTATCTTCGAGTTCAACTCCGCCGTTACAGATGACACTACAGAATTTGTCGCGCCAACCTATCATGTATCACAAAATATAATTCTAGGTGGCGGAGGCTTTCTTGTTGTGTTCAGAAAAAACGCCCAATTTTGCCGGGCTTGGATAGAAAATACTCGATTTGCGAACAACAGCGCAACGGTCGGAGGTGGACTCTACGTCGAGCAATCTGACTTGGCCATGGGCAACCACTTCACAATGGTTAGTTCGAATTTGTCAGGGAATACAGCGGGACAGGCGGCAGGGGGACTAAGTTTGACACAGTGGAACAATGCTTCCAGCTTCACAACAGTGTTTAAAAATTGCATCGTTAGCGAAAACGAGGCACAGCGAGGAGCAGGGATGAATGTATTTTTTATGAACTCCGATGCAACTTACAACGACTCTGTGTTAAGGTAAGAGAGCGATATATTTAGAGGCCCACCTGTACAATGAAATTCTGGGTACAAAGCCAATGACGCATTTTGGTTTTTCGATAAAAACTGTATTTCAATTTTTTTTTTAATTTCAACGAATATTCCGCCGATAATTTTAGTATGGTCGACTCTCTTCTCGTTGGCTGGATAGCAAATATTTTCTGCGCTTTAGCCGCAGGTTCTATAGTCTCCCTCGCAGCCGTTTTTTGGATGTTTTTTGGATGTCACGCAACGCGTTGCGTGACATCCAAAAAACGGCTGAGAGAGAGGCTACAGGTTCTACGGTCAATCGAAATTTTAAGACAACTACTTTCAAATGAAGTTCTTCTCGCACTCCCCAGACTTCCGCTAAAAGGAGTAAACTCTCGGTCCTGGCGGCGGGGAATCCGCAATCGAAAGGAAGTTGACAGGCTGTATTATTCACAATTCAAATCCATTCACCCCATATGAGGGAAAGGAAGGTTCTGGAATCCGGAAAATTTTTGCTTGTGGAATCAGGAATACAGATCAAGGAATCCGGGATTGGAATCCAGAATCCAAGTTCCACTAACAAAGACTGGAATCCAGTACAACCCGGTACCTGGAATCCGGAATCCACGGCGTGGAGTTCAGAATCCAGGCTAGGGCTGTCGTGAATTGAGGTGACATATGATGAATCCATCCTAAAAGGCAAATGGGAAATGGTCAAGCTGACAACTAACCCATGCAGTGCAGTATTTAGCCTGTGGGTAGCCTGCGAAAACATCCGTTTCTCCACGCTCTTCGCCGCCGGGGACGTTTCCCCCGCGCGAAACGTCCCCAGCGGCGAAGAGCGAGGAGAAACGGATGTTTTCGCAGGCTAGCCTTTGGGCTGTT